CTACTGTATGCCAACGGTCTTTTCGAGGCGCTGGCTATTTTAGTTGTTGCTTTTGTTGCATTAGTGGTAATCGCAGCTGTATTGTGTCAACTTGAGTTGCTGTTGAAAACAAAAATGAAGTCCATATATGAAAGGCTGAGAGTAAAAACAGCACGTCGCATCTCATCTCTTGCTCTCACTTACAGGAATTTCTGTTAGAAAGAGAAGGAGGTTGGATGTGACGTGCTATTTTTGCTCTCAGCGTCTCATATCATGTTTAACAAAACTAAGAATAAGTAGAAATAGAAACTTACGACTTAAAGTCAGTGTGATGCACCCATTTGGTGAATTGATATCAAGCATGTGATTAATAATTGGAGTCGTGTAAAATATGCATTTGTAATTTATGTCACTGGCAGTGAACAGTTTCAAGCCAGCATTTTTCCATCGTCCATTTAATTTTGCTGAATATGCAATAAAATGATCCAGATAATCAGCAACATCAAGCATATGCGAATCTTCAGTTGGATCTGCTTGTTTCATGCTTTTTGATTGCTCAACCAAACAATTGGATGGGTTGTACACAGTGAAGTGAACCGGTTTGACATTTCTCATACAAACCGATTTCGGAGCGGTATCTCGGAATTGGTTTCGTCTTGTGAAAACGAATCGGAGCAAGCGGAACGTTCTGAGAATTGTTTGTATGGTGAAATATGTGTACGTGAATAGCAATGCACACTAATGCACACACAGCCGTTGTACGGTCGTGTGTATACTGCACAGTGTAAACCATTTTCGGAACGTTCCGCTTTCTCCGATTCGTTCGGTAAGTGAAACCAATGAAATGGTTTGGTTTTGGCTCACTTCACTGGTTGTATTGTACAAAATAAAAATATTCTCATATTCGAATGTATTCAATATTGTCACTCAGCTGGATGTATTTTTTTGACATTTATCCAAGGTAGGAATTTCAATGGGCAATCAATGAGTTGTATTGTGCATGTTGTATTCGCATCGATAATAACACCGTTAATACGAAGGTCTTCGAATAGTTCCTACGAATAGTTCTGCAAAAAAATTATTGTTGTTCTCTTGATATCGGAAATATCGGTGTTGACAGGTAAACCAAGCACAATAACCGTTAGGCATTGTTAATTGAATTCGATATGAAAAACGATCGTACAATCCGTTTTGAGCTGTAAAGCAAACTATAAATGGTCGAACGACGACAACTCAAGGGGATATTCCTAGGGGGTAGACATGATTCATTTGATTCACTGTGATTCAAAAGATTCACATTGTTTAGATGACATTTGAAATGTCACTTATGTGTCATGAAAGAAATATTTATTGATAAATTAAAATTATTTGTCTTCGAAAAAATGATTTCTTGACGTTTTTTTTAAATGTATTAACTCATTATTTTTTTATCTATTTCGTGTTTTTCTAGTAAATTCCAAATAAAATCAACGATAATATTTAGAATTTGTTGAACGATCATGTTAGTAAAACCAAAATTGATGCTTATTTGACATTTGAATGATTCATTTGATTCACTGTGATTCACATGATTCAAAGTTTTATAATTCGTGTCTACCCCCTAGGGATATTTATAGAATGAATCTAGAAAAACTAGAAGAACTAGCAGAAAAACTGTCAGAACTAGTAGTGTGTTTCTAGTGCGTGAAGTTGGTTCGCAGTAATTTTTTTTATACACATTGTATGTGAAGGAGCCAACTTCACGCACTAGAAACACAAGAATTGCATGAATATCCCCATGCGACAACCTAAATTAGTTTTAAAAGATAATTTGAAATGTTTGAGAATTTTAAAAATATTCATGTAAACCTGCATGAAAAACAAAATGGCTTCAAAAAGTCGTCTAATACTATGGTTTGATTGTAAATTCGGTTCAATTCAAAATCTACTTACAATTGTCGGTGAATTTTATAATATCCTTGCTATTCAATAGATTTTCTTCACCTTTTTTAATGTTTAAATATTACTTTTCCGCACACACCTAGTGTGTAAGGTAAAGTATTGGAATTGGTCGAAAAATTAACACCCATAAAAAATGTGTTTTCTGGGTGTTTTTGGGGCCAGGGAACACGAATCTAGCGTTTTTTCGATGTCCGAATGCATTTATTACGTATCTTTTACCGTAAATATGAATTCATGAGAAAACTGAATCTGATATAAGTTTTGCGATACCAATAATTTTTGATAGACTTTTCAATGCCTGTAGGATATCGTAATCATGTGAAAATTTGCAGATGTTATTTTTTTTACAAAAAGCTTGAAGAAATTTCAATACAATTGAGTGGTACCTTCCATACAAAATTTTCGTTTTTGAGCAAAAAGTCCAAAATTTCGTTCGGGAAGTACCCCTATTATGCATTGACATCTCTTCAAACTCTCGGAATGTTATTTTTGTGTGAAAAAAATAACCTGTGCAAAGTTTCAGCTCATTACGATATCATACAGGCATGGCTTTCATACGAAAATCCAATTTTTTTGAAATTGTTGTATGAAAAGTGTGTCGAAATATATTTGTATCGCAAAACTAAGGTCATATTCGGTTTTCTCGTACCCAAAAACCCCCCAATACATATTTTTGAGTGTTTAGGAATCGAGAGTCGAGCGCTATCCATCCAAATACATTGTGACGTCACACATCTTACACAGAAACGGCATCTTTGTAAAACCGGCTAACTACAATGTAAAAGTATAGCGAGAGGGGAAGGGAGTGAATAAAAATGGGAAACAGATACGTTTGATTTACATTGTAGTTAGCCGGTTATTAATAGATCGTAGTGAGCCCTTATTGCGCTTGACTCTTGTTAAGAATACATTAAATATCACTTTTGGAAGAAAAATTGGATTTTTCCCATGGATGCCCATGGGCATCACACCAGACATGACAATTCACTCTATCAACCAAAGTCGCTCAAAATCTAATTCCTCGGCACCCCCAATCATCCTGTGAAGTAAGATTTTGAGTTAGTTTTCTTGTTTGAAAGTTATCGTGTTAACAAATTTTTGCGTACCGCGCACAGGGTACAGGGTACTTACATACATTCGGACATCAAAAAAACGCTAGATTCGTGTTCCCTGTCCCCAAAAACACCCAGAAAACACATTTTTGATAGGTGTTAATTTTTTGACCGATTCCAATACTTTACCTTACACACTAGGTGTGTGCGGAAAAGTAAAAATAGTTCTCATGTCGAAAAAAAATTAATGCATTAGAGGGTTAATATTTAATATTAAAATTTTATTTTGTGTTTTGTCGCCACACTTTTCCCAGACGATCAACTAACATGCCATCATGTGTGTATCTTGTTTGAAAAATGGAAATCAAATGTTGACACAGTCAAATCAATTAACCGTTAATTTTTATTTTGAATTTTCAATTTAGAAAAAAAAGATCAAAAGTCGTTGGAAAAATCATTTCGCTCGTATATTTTGATGAAATTTTTTTTAATGAAAAAAGCAAATAAACTCTCGAGAAGAAAAAAAAAATTGTACACGCATATTGCCTTCAAATAAAATAAAATTTTTCTTAATGATTTCCACTCCATACAGTTGCATGGGGTCAATCACGAAATTCTAGTGAATCTAGTTTTTGATAAGATTTCACTAGAAAACTAGAAAATTCTAGTGCGTGAAGTTGGCTCTCAGTAGTTTTTCATATAAATTACCCACGACCCTGTGGTTAAGAGCCACATGTTCTACCGACTGAGCTAGCCGGGCTTGCGGATAAATTGCGCAGTATGCTTCAAGAGCACTGCCGCATAACACGAACAAATGTGAAAAGGCGCGCAGACATTCTATCGGCAGATATTTATTTTTATAACAAGCTACAATTCATTGCACGAAAGTGCCAAAGGCATTCTTCTATTCGAATTTAATTAGTTAAAATCATTTAAAATCGTTTTGATATCGGAGGAATGGAATGGATGAACGGAAATCAAATTTTATTGAGAACTCGATATTTCAAACTTTTTTATGTCAGCGTGATATAGATTTTCAACGTGTTTTCTAATCTTTAATTAAATAATTTATCAATATTTCGATCAAATCCAATATATCCAATGTCTTTTGTACCCCATTGAGTTACGATTTTTCACATGATTTTCATATGAATGAAAAATAAAATGAAATAGCAACATAGCATTTTTAAAACGTAGAGTTGTTAGTATAGTTACACGGATTTTCAGCCCAAATCAATAATAAAATAAAAATAAATATAAATTATAAATGAACTAGATCGCTTGATATTTGCACACTTTCAAGATCAATTGAATCGGTTAGAATATTCGTGAGCCCAGGAAATTTGTTAAAGGAAAAGAGAAACATGTTCATATAAAAATTGTATGGGCACGTTGTAGTTTTATTTTGACAACTTCCTGAGGTCACGAATATTCAAGGCGGTTTTGAAAACAACAAATTGAAAACAACAAATGTTTCATGTTTCATGTATTTTCTTTAATTTGTTTGAATGTTTTGTAATTTTTAAACTAAAATTGCTAAATGAAATTCCTGTAAATGTTTCCATTTTGATTGTTATGATACGTATCTACTAATAGCTATGCATAATTTGGTGAATTTCATCAAATAAATTCGTGTCAATTGCTATATAGTTGATAACAGTGTTTTTATTTTAACTAAATTTTTATATTATTATTTTTTTTTCGTCTAAATTTTGACATTTGTGTATAAATCATATTCGAGGTGCATGCGAATAACAATAAATTAGACATTTTCAAATTGGATAAATTGTTTTGGAAATTATAAAAATAAAAACAAAATTGTTTTTGACCGGAATAAATTCGAAACATTTCAATTTTTAATTTCATCAAGGATTCAACAATTAAAATCGATCAATTTGAATAAAGTGTTTAACAATAAGTTTCTTTTTCGATATTTTCTATACAATTACAATAAATTCAATTCAATAAAAAAGAACTTTGTATATCTAAACTCAACAGAGATTTGTTTGAACTACTCTCTTAAAAATAATAAAATATATATGGATAGACGTGTGTTTGGTTGAAAAAATGGAAGAGAAATTGCAGATCTTTTTTTTATTTTCCAATATTTAAATGAAGAGACGATGAATACATCATTGATTTTGCGGCAGTTGTGCTCATGTGATTCATGCGTTGGGCTGTCATGTGATCTTTTAACTCCATAAGTTGTTCGGATAGTCGAGTTACAATGACTTGCGTTGTCTCGAGTTGAGCTTGTAGACTGCGCAATTCAATTTGCTCTTCGCTTACTTCGACGGCGGCCAAGGAAATCGCACGCAATCGTGGGAACCAATCCAATGTATTTGTTTTAACCATTCCGTAGACATATGATTCGGGGCCAGTGAATTCGGTCGGATCTTTTACTTTGACCAAAACAATAAAGTACAAATAGTGCCACATATTATGCTCACTTTTGATATGCTCTTCAAAACTAACGGTTTTATTATCGAACGCTGAACGATTCAAACCGCATATGAAACATGTATTCTTAAGAATTAACTCTTTTTGTTGCTTTTCACTACGCAAATCGGCGAATGTATCGATAATAACACCAAAAATCAAATTCAATACAATAATGATTACGATGAAGAAGAACAGCAAATCATATATAACACGCGCTATAAACAATGCTTCCTGAAAAGAAAAAAACAATTTTTAAAGAAATAATTGTGAATTTGGTTTTGTTAACCACTTACTGAAGAAGAGGGAGCGCGCAGAATATCACCAATACCACCGCCATTTCGTAGACCTTGATTGAGCGTGGTGATAATGCACATTACAAGGGAATCACAGGCACGCTCTTTACGTTCACCACCATCATCGGCCTCTTGTAATGCATCTTTTGAACACACCTGTTGCTCTGCATCATTCGTGCCTTTCGACAATGTTACATCAGGTGGATCATTACATGGTGGCAAACCATCACCTGATATTGATATAATTTCATCGTCAACGGGCACCAAGAAATCATCCTTAAAGAAAATGTAACCAATAATCGAAAATAGATAAACCAAAATCAATGCCAAAACCGCTGTGAATACGATCGATCGACCGTTTCGTGTTACCGATCGAATTACATTCAACAGAGTTTCTTCACGATAAACCACATCGAACAGCTGCAAAACAAAATTTTTTATTCAATTTTAAACGCTTGGCCAAAACAAAAATATCAAATGCTTTTCATACCAAAACGGAATAGAAAAATGGATGAACCAGCATGCCAGTCATGCAAAATACCATGTAACCAAAGTGGTAAATTAGCTGAGCGTCGGTTACGATTTTCAGAAGATGCTTCTCAAGTGTACCATGATTTCCCATCAAACTGACGATGTGAACACCTTTCAGAATGACAGTCAAAAAGCCTAACATCCAAATCGTCGGCGCCGGTCCAATCGAAAATATCATGCGTAATATGATTGAGGCGACAAGTGTGCGAATTCCAGATGGCCGAGGCACCGTAAACAAACTAATAAATGACAACAACATCACCGTCCATATCAGGCCAGATAAATGGGAATTCAGCTCTGAAATTAAATTTTATTACATTATAGCCCTCGTTTATATTGAAAAAAAAAGTACATTTTGTTTTACCTAAAATATTGCTCTCAAACGGATAGAAACATGCAATGATTGTATTTATCAGAACGACCAAATTGAAAAGAATGTTACTCCACAAAGTCATATAGCTGCTAACCCAAAACAAAGCTGGCTGTCCACGGAGTTTCCTGCAAATAAAAAATAAAATATTTTCAATAAAATGTGAATGTTCATTATTGCTGATGTACACTCACTTTTGCCATTTCATTTCATTGAACATTTCATCGGTTTTATCGAAAAAGTCAGCCACCTTTGAACCTTGATCGTCTCGTTCGGCTGTGTGAAATATTTTAATTTTGGTATCATTGGTTAGATACTCGCAAATCTCCGGAATTGGAAATACGATTTGTTCGAGTGTTCGATCGTGTCGAACGATTTCAATTTGTGCCGTGTGCGTAGCATAATATTGTAATGCAACATTTGTTTTACTAATTTCGCTGGATGGATGTGATGTGGTGCCGGCAGCGGGTGTGCTTGATAGATTCGATGATACTGTGTCAGTTGGTTTAAGTAATGCAGCTAATTCTTTATTATGTTGAGCCAATTGATGGCATAGAATGTAAATATTATGGCCAACCTCACGTGGCGATACACCGCCTTCATCTTGATCATCGTCACAATTGTACATGTCATCCATTTGTTCATGTTCGCTCAAAATCTCCTCTTGATGGAATGCTCGACACGCAACATCAACCAATTGCTTTGGATTCATATTGTATAAAATACGTTCCGCATTCTCGTTATCACCGCGACTCTCCATGATGGCCAGCAATAGCTTTGAGGCATTATTTTTCAGTTCTAACACCAAATCCATGCGATTCTTGCCAAGTGGATTAATGTCATTTAAAATCAAGGCCGTTATTATGTCCAAACCGTTTGATTCATGAATGGCAATGCAATTTTGATTCTCATGACACGGACCTTGACAGTATTCCGTTAACGTTTCCAATGTTTGATTTATTAATGCCACATTATTTTCATTTATGTACAAGCCAAGCAAACCAAGTCCACCGGTAGTTGAACCACAAATACAGTCTAAAAACATCAGAGTTTCGGATACCACATTGTAATTGGTTTTATTGTTCTGATGTCGTAGCCAATTTTGTAAATCGGGATTATGATTTTCGCATAGAAGTTGTAAGAATCGAAGCACCGGCTGCATAACCAACACTTTTGTTGATAATTTATTGTTATCGTCTTTTTCTTTGCGCTTCTCCAGTTTATCGGCTAAAATTTCTTCGAGTGCATTGCCCATATTAACAGTTAACTGATCATCACTACCATTACAACTACTTCCGGGTGGTATGAGATTTCTTGCAGCAGCATACGCTTGGGCCGTTGCTAAACCGGCATTATTCAATTCATCGCGCAATTCATCTGTTATCACAATGCCATTTGATTGTTTGTTTGCTTGTTTTTTTGAGATTTTATCCAATTCTTTTCCATCCTGTTTTGATTCGTTTGTTGTTTTGTTCGCAATATCAGTGGTATTGACGGTGACCGTTGATTTAATTTCTTGTTGTGCATCTTTCATTTTATCGTAAAACACTTTGAAAAATGATTGACTCAGCTCAGCATTTTGGAATTTATTGAACATGCTACGCTGAATGATTGGATTGCCACCTTCAAGTAATGCGATACCTAATTCAACACCTTCAACAAAAATCGATGGTGAATTCACCGATTTAATAACTAATTCCACCACCAAATTTGATGCTCCCTCTTTATCCAAATGACTTTGTACTTCGTGCAATGTTCGTTCGGCCCGCTGTAGAAATTTCGCACCAGGGCCATGTGTTATCGACAGACCCGATGAATTCGGTTCCGTTTTAGATCCAACAATGTTTGGTGGAATTGCTTTTGGTTTGGCGCCCACTGTTTTGCCCAACACATTTGGACCGTTGCCCGTCAAATGGTTGAGCGCATGATGAGACTTATCGCAGAATGCATCCGCAAAATAACGACGAAGCAATGTATTACGCAAACTATCACCTTTTTCACCATACTCCGTATCCATTGCCATCATTTCGCGCAGCGTTCGCAACACTTTAACGCACAGTTTCTCTTCTTTTTCTTCCAACAATTTTTCAGCGTGTTTTATGAGCCGCCGTATAAAGCCACCGTTTTCACAGATCTTTCGAGATTCCGAACCTTCGGGAAATAGTAATTCAGATCGATATAAAATATCCACTAATAGTGACAATTCGGCTTCAACCAATGGCTTCAATTGATTGTACAACAGCTCCAAAATATCCTGTAGACCTTCGATAATGGTACGATCAAGTCGCATCACTTGCGATGGTGCACGTTCAATTTTCGGTTGTTTGGATGCCAGTAGCCATTTGCTTGTTTGTCGTGTTAACAACGCCGATTTATTGAACATCATCAAGAGCTGATTTTCCAATTCAACGGGGAAGGCGATGGCACGCTTTTGCGCCACTTCGGTCAATGTTCGAATACAATTTTCAACATGAAATTTCTGGGGTGATGGTATTCTATTGCATTTAGTCAGGCGATAAGCCGATTGAACGATTTGAATGAAGATGGTTTGATGCGTTTGCAAAACGGTTGATTGATCCGAAAAAGGACTATTGAAAAATGTCGTTAAACAATTCATAACTTCATAAATTACATAGTTCAGTAGTTCTTGTTCGCACGTTTCCGTTGATTTTGATGTTGAAGTCGCCACAACTGTGGATTTTTGAGCATCATTGTCAGTTACCACGATTGGAACGGCAATTAAACGATTTATATCGGCCAAGAAGGAGTTTTCAAATAAATTCCACATATGATGTGACGAATAAATTTCCTTCATCTCAACTTCTGTGTCGATGTAGCAATGGCTCAAAAAATCAACATAGGCTATTTTTACTTCTGGCAAACAATCCGGATGGGAAATCATTGCAATTATGTCTTCTAGTGTCAGTAAACTATTGCATTTAATTTCCGTATAGACATTTTTGCCCATCGTACAGCAGGCCAATAGTTTTACCAGCTCAACATGGTACTTGATCGGTCCATCATCTTTCAGTGTTCCGGCTGTTTTTTGTTGCATCATCGCGATGAATTGATTGAACGACGATTTATCATTGTAAAACACAAGAACATCTTCGCCAGCATTTATTAACTATTAAAAAAAACCCAAAAGAAATCGATTAATGACAAATAAAAGAATGAAGTAAAGAAAGTAAGTACCTCTTGCATAACCATATCTTGACACTTGCGAATAAATTGATTTTCGGCCTTGACAATTGTTTGCAAGAATTTCAAATACTCAACGTGTCGACCGTGAATTTCAATCGAATGCACAAAATGTTGAACAACTTTCTCGTTCACTTCATTGCATAGTGCCAAATTGTCTTTGAATATGCTGCATACGGTTTCAGCATCCAAAATGCCGGGATTCAAGAACATATCCAACTGTTTGTGCATAAGATTTTGATTCTGTTGATTTCCCAAACAGAAATTTTGCAGAAACTTATGCGCAACACGCATTAGTTCATGCATTTGTGTGTCTTTCTCATCATATGGCACTTGGAGTAGATCAAGTACAATTGTATGCACACCAACATTACGAAGCAAACGCTGTTCATGTTTACGTGGTTTTACCACGTCGCCCGACGAACCACTTGACACACACAATTTATTCATTCGACGTAGAATTTGTTCGACTTTTTTGTATTCTTGATTTTGATCAAACACACCATCGTCGTCCACAAAAAATCCAAAACTCGAATCATCTTTCTTTAACACAGAGTTTGGTTTCTTTGAACTGCCTTCGCCCGCCGAAGAATCTCCAACTTTTGATTCAACGCCGAAAGCTTTTGAATCGGATGTCTCCGCAACAGTCACCGTACTTTCATCAGATGGCTTCGATTTGTAGACCCACAGTTCTGATTTCTCAACGCATTGACGCAACACATCCAAATCTAAATCGAAGGACATGTCATTTGTTTAGTTTGTGAATTGAATTTTTAAAATTCTGATATTAAAATTACCTGATTTAATTTGTTTATAGGATTCAACGTCACTGTCGCTAACCAACAATTGAACCTGTCGAAAAGCGTTCAACACTTCTTGCCGTTGACTGAAATGACGAAATAGTAAATGCAATGCGCCCGAAACCAACGGTGGATAATCGTGCATGATCAAATGCAACAAAACACGTAGGAATGTTCGTCCGCCTTGGCCGTCTAGATCAAGATGCGATGGTTCTTCATCACAAAATATTTTCTCTGCTTGCATTCCAATCGATTCCAAATCGATATTTTTCTGACGCAAATTGATCTCATCGCTTGATTTTTGTGGATCACATTCATCGAATTCTTTCTTAAAAATTGACAAAAGGCATGAAATTCGATAGTCCAAACGTACATCCGAAATGAATTGCAAAATTTCAATGATTTTCAGTTTGGTGTCCATCACAAGCGGGTATTCTTTCATCAGCTGAGTTACGGATTTGCGTTGTTGCACCGAAATGGCTGGCGTCACAATCGGTCCCAGCATCACAGTGCCCTACGGAATTAAAACGAAAATAGATTAAAAATTATGCACTTTCTTAAATCGCAAAGTGGTTTTCTATCTAAATACATACCATATCGCCAATCGAACGCAGCACTCCACCGTCAGCTATTTACGAAATAAAAATAAATTAGATTTAAATCTAAACACAAATTGAAAACATGCACGTATCAAATAACGTGCAGAACATAAACCAATGACACACTTAAACTGGTGCATGCATTTGCTATTCAAGCCAAAATAGAATCGAAACGAAAAAAAAGAAGAAGTAATAAATAAACGAAAAGTCATGAGGCATTCTCACAAACAACAGCAACAACAAAAAGAAATGGCAACACAACCAAACCAAACTTGAACTTACTGTCTTCCTCTTTCTCTTTATTAGTAGTATTAGTATCAAGTTCGCTATCAGATTCCTCTTCGGAGGCGGCTTTTGTTTTTTATTTGCGAAAGCATGAATGTGTGTTTGAATTGAGTTGTTAATGACAATTTGATATAAATGTATATAAATTTCATTCTTATTCTAATCTTCGTCGTAAATTTAATTTTGACATTTGCTCCAATTTCAAAGAAAGAATTTTGTTTGAATGGAGTACAAGTAAGAAAAAATGTGCGAACGAATGATACTTACATCCAATGTCACCGGTTGGCATGGCGCCAACCATACCATTTGCATCAGCACAATCTAAAATGCTGAGCAATGTTTTGGTCAGTCGAAGTAAATCGCTAAAACTATAGAATCCAAAATAGACAAGATCTCGTGCCAGTTTTACTACTTCGAACGTCAGCTTATTTTGATCTTGATTTGCAAATAGCCACTTTTTCATCGCCACATTACACAAATAATTTTCGACAAACGCAATTGTTGTATTGAACCGTGCCCGAACCGCTTCTTTATTCGAATCGGGTTGTTTTTTCGAATCATAGCTACAAAATGACAGTGATTGATTTCATAAGTGTTAGCTCATAACAGACGGCGTTGAAATATGTGTAAAAAAACAAAACCATTAATGATTGATACTCACTCGTCAATCGACATTTTCGATGGTATTTCCGACCACAATCGAGCATATTTCACCGGTGTAACCGGTTCTTGGGGATCGCGATCAACATGCAAGTGAAGCATTAATCGACAAAAGGATGAACGCAAATCATGCGAAACCGTTTCATCCGACATGCATCTGAAAAGGTTAAATTGAACATGATTTTTTATGTTAGTTCCTGTTTTATACGGGATGGGACTGTACTCACTTCAAAATGAGGTCGATATCCAAGTGTTGTGACAAATTGTTGAGGGCAAGATATTGCCGATTCAAGCACATATTCGAAAATAAATTCAATTGATGTCGATAATAGTCCAAAATGCCATGTTCATCGTTCAACGACAACTCCAGCATCGATTTACTTTGCTGCGAAAGAGCAATCAATAGATTTTTTTATTTTATTTGGCACATTTCCAAATCCAATTTCAATCCACACACACACACACAAAAAATGCTTACCATTCGGTTATGCCACAAAAGTCGCACTTGAAAATTCTGCTTTACTTCCTGTAATCGACTGTCATTTTCAAGCTCTTTTTCATCTTCCGTCTTTTCGGCCGGATCTTTTTCAATGTGAATTAATGGCGGCGGTTCACACTCAACGATTTCAGTTTCAATTAAAATATCCGAATTTTTGGCACTCAACACACTTTTGCAAATGAGCTCTTGTGTAACAGCGATTGCACGCCGATTTGACACACATAAATCGGATAAATAATCCAAAAATCGTGAATCCCAATTGGCCATATTTTTTCGTACCAATCCGACGAACGTTTCAATTTCAGCGGCTGTGATATGTTTTTCGAGTAATTTACGATTATTGTGTAACAAAGCGGTGATTGTGTCTTCGGCCAAAATGTCGTAGCCAATTTGCTTTTGCATCAGACCAAAATGTTTGGCAATATATTCTTGATTTTTTCGATAATCCTGTTGGCTCAAACGCAATATACGGTAGCACAATCGAAATATGTACTTGTAAACGCCATTCTTTGGATCGCTTAAATCGTCGAGACGCAAAAATGGTACCATTTTATCACTATCATCCTCACTTGGCACTTGTGTTTCGAATGGAACCTTGAATACATAAAAAAAGGAATGAATAATGACTTTAAGTTCCATGTAAAGTTGGCCATTTGTTAACGCTCACCTTCAACAGGACGAATAGTTGTTTCAAAATCTCTTGTTCACGTAACAATTTTTGTCGATCACGATTCGGATTGTTAATGGTTAATTCGAGCGCTTCACTTTTACTCTGTTCATTCTCCAATCCGGCAATGAAATACACAATATCTTGTAATAGTGCGATCAAAGGACGACGTTCGTTGTGAGTCAATGAACCATTTTTCAATTTGGTATTCATTGCTTCGAGAACTTTGCACGCATCATTGGCAAAATCCAAGTCACGTACTTCAAACGGTGGCACTGGAATCAAGGCAAACGCTTCTTTGTCTTCTTTGATAAATGAACAACAGACTTTTGACATGACCGGCTTATCTTCGTCCACATCGATCGGCTGTGATGTGGCATGAACCCATGAATTTGAACATAAATGTCTCATCCGCACATAGCTTGATTGTGGCACCAACGAATCGATGCGAGTCATTGTGGTTGAATCTAATTCAAATACCGATGCTAAATCACTTGAATATGATACCGGAACCAAGCGGTATGTTGGCGATGGACCTTGATGCGTTGGTATGCTCGACTCCATATCAATTCCAAGGCCAAGTCTTTGTGCTAACGGTGTGTTTAATGCGCTATTTATTACCGATGAATTTGCAATCGATGTATTTGGATTTACTGGTGCGGATGTATCCAGTTCAGCGGCCAAATAAAATCCAGTAGCCAAATGCTTGAAGCGATACAAGGAATTCCTGAAATTAAAAATGATAAAATAAGTGAAAAATAATTGGGGTTTGGAGTGAACAAAAAGATTACCAATGACCAGCACCGCCTCTGCATGGATCATGTTGAACAATGTCAATTTCCCACAATGCTTTGCTACTTGTTGCCGCTGTTGCACTCGTTCTGCCAGTCGTGCGAAGAAACACGTGTTGTTGTTTCTAAAAACCATTTCACATTTATCGTCGTATATTTTTAAATTAAATATCAAAGTTTATGTTTACCTTATAGGCGTTCATTGTCAAGAATTTCTCTTGTTCGGCATGAAACAGACGCACAACATCGCCCCCTTTCAAAACATCGTCTTGGTTTTCAGTGTGCTTTAAAAATAGTGTAATTTTCCATGATGTTGACGAATTCAGCACGTTAACCTCTTTGCAAGGAAACAATTGTATTCAAATTCTTGTAATTGCTGATGAAACAGATATGCACACACTCAGAGAAAAAAACACTTACCGTTGCAACCAGGATTATCGGGCAATTCATAATTGGCGGCAACATGTAAATTTTGTTGATCAGCTTGTACTGGATTCAAAATAACCTTATCGCCGATCACGACATTATCACCGGTTGACCGCAATTTATAAAATGGTGATATATAAAACCATGACCCTTCATTACCATTTGCATCTAAATACACGCGCATCGCATTCTTCTCCAAATACGATGGCAACCGTTTGTTGACGGTGAGATATTTATTTGATTTTAAATGAAGTAATTGTACGATACTGCCGTAAGGGACGACATTACCAAGTAATTTCTTATTTTCGCTTTCATTTTGTTTCTTCTCGATTTCGGCCGCATGATGTAATCGCTTCAAAAGGCTTGTATCGGTATTTGTTTCACTGCTCGATCCACCCATTCCACCATTGTTGATATTTTGTGCATTTTGTTTGGCCGCATTCCAGAATTGTTTCTGTGCCGAATATCGATTCATCGGACATATTTTGATTAAACAATCGCGAAACTTTTTCGGTGGACTATTTAAATTGCCTGCCTCCGGACAAACAACTGTTCGATCATCAACCAAACTATAATCAATGTTGTTGAAAATAAAATAACGTAAATTGGTAATAAATTCAAATACAATAACATATTTAATTGGTCTAATTAGTGGAAATGGCAACAACGTATATATGAAAAATAAAATCACAACTTACCCGAGCGTACTTAGAAAGCCGCAAACACTGCCTTCTGCGTACAGCGACACAATATCGCCAAGATGCAAAAAACTCGATGAATCCATTTTCGAATCGTTCATACTAGATTCAAGCGAACCGATGTATGGATGTGAACCAATGAATTCGTGTCAAATTCGATTATTGCGTGTATTGACATTCGAATTCGATGACCACTTTCAGCTAAACCACATTTGAATTTATTTCCCAATTAATGAGCGAATGACGACCGAATCACTATATATGCGATCTCGTTTTAGATGCCCAATTTAGCTGTCACAAAACAATCCGTTTGTTTGTGTTTTATTTCGGTGTTTGTTGCTATTGATATTTAATAACTATTATTCACTTTTTATCACTCCAAATATGTAATCGGCTTGTAATTCTACATTTAGATAAGTGTTTTCGTCGGTGTGCTATTGTATCCGATATACTATATTATACTTGCGACGCACTCATAGGTTTTCACTAAATAGCTTTAAATAATATACAATTAATTGTCAATATATGACATCTGACTTCTCGGGTCTAATTTCTTTCGTTTGCGTGTATTCGTATGCGTGCGTGTGTGTGTATGTTTCACTATCACTCGATTTAATACATTGTATAGCGACAGATATGTTTATTTGTCATTTTTTTGGCGACAACAAAAACAAAATAAAACCGGCTTAATCTGTGAACATGACAACGAAACATGCCATTCCATTGCCGCTGCCATATGAACGCGTGTATAACGTGAACCATTTTTGTTGTTGTTCTTACATACATATCAAAATCGAGGTGTATCTTTTTCGTCACACGGAATTAAATTCGTTTCAACAAAAAAAAAAAATCTATGTCATCTTCGCAATAAATGCTGATTTTTTTTTATTGTCTTCATCAGATGAAATCTGGGTATTTTTTCACCGTCTGTTCACAACGCGTGCCGCTTTTAATAAATTGTTATTGGTGTATTCATGAGAAACGATATGACAGTGTACATCACATTTCTTTTCTGTTGTTCCGACGATATTGCTCATGTGCTGTTTAAAGATGTGCCGTACAACGATTTTCAAGAACAAAGCACAATCGATGCTTGTGAAACGATGTATAATAATCTTCTTTATGCGATTATAAAACTGAATCATGTCGTGGATAAGTGGGACATTGAAATTATACACATCATTCTTTTTGTTCTTTTCTCTGAGTCTTTTATTTGAGTTGCTGGTCATGTTTGGGGGCCACTCGAGTATCAATGCAAGTATTTGTCATTATATCGCGCGATTTGCTGGGTTAGATTACATTTAAAAAAATGTTCTCTTTGAAAGAAAAAAGCGATTTGCCGGTGATAGGCATGTATGTGTTTGTGGCCTGTTACATTCTGTATAATTACGAATAAAGTCGATACGGTCTTTTTTTTTCATTGATACAAAAATAAACAACAATTAAAATAACAATGAAATGTTTTGTTGCTTGTGTATACATGGTTTCGACGTTTTCTTGAATTTTTTTCAGTTTCTAAACGCCATTGAGTTTATTGTAAACTGTCGAAATAGAAATTCTTCGCATTAGTTTAAGCGACTGCGAAGCAACACAATAATTTCAAAGTATGGAAGGTTCGGTACATACGTGAATCACACGTTTACAAGCCGTTCAATTTGTTTTCCGCGCTCACACATGACAAAAATAGCATTAGTTGTTAAAAAAGCGACCAGATAATCATCGAAACATGTACATCATATCATCATATGAATGATGGAGTCATTTGTGAGCGCACAAACATTCTTTCATCACACAATTTACTCATTTAAGCGAACCATTATTTTTTGCTCGCTATACTCGCAAAACAATTTATGACTTGGCGAATTTCTGTTTGCTTTTCTTTTTATGAAACTACAAAAAAGAAAAAGCCCGCAACAAATTATTTGCTCATACAATAATGATAACATTGGCGCAGAAAGTCTTCATTAAATATTCATTATACGGTGAGTGTTTTGTCGACGCAGCAAAACGATTGATAAAATTGCTTATCAATGATGGAAAGAGCAGTGAAATGTGCCTCATTAAAAATTCAGCAAAACGATCCAACCAAAAATAGGTTACGGCGCTTAAAATAGGCACAAAAACGCGTCGAACACACACATTTGTACTTTACCAAACCGGCAAATGGATTGACAGCCAATCGAATTGGATTGAATTGAATTGAATTGGTAGAGAGCATGCGACCAAGCAAACAACAATGCTTAGTAAACAAGCGTACATTGTGCACACAGTAATCAATGGATGGTTGCCGTTTCTCGTTTCGAACAAATAAAAGACGCTTTAACAAATTACACGGCATACCGATGTTGAAATATTAAAATGTCGATATATTTTTACGCCTCGTTCATTTACATGTATTGCCGAAGCGGTACCATATAGCTGGTGCTTAATTGATGCAATTTGCTTTTGTGTCCGTTTTCTCTATATTTGTTAGCGGCATTTTGAGAATTATAATTGAGGGAACAATGGCTCCTATGGGACGCAGTGTGCTATATAGAACAAAAATCACATTCATATTTAAAAACTTCCATTTTGTTGAATCGTATTGATTAACACCATTCAATTTGTTTAACTCAAACGATTTGAAGTTTGATATTTTCTACAATGTTTTCAGCATTAAAACATTGAATATCCGATGTAATGCAAATTGACGTTTTGGTTTATGCGAATGCGTCTAATTGAAAAACCACAAACAACGATGAAATCAATTTTTCCCCCCTTGACAAATAACACCAAATACCACAACATCAGCTTGATTCAATCAATGGGCTCTATCTCATGTTTACTTGAGCACACATTTTGTTCATGTATTTTACTGATCGCTTTCGCGATTTTATTTCATTAAAATAACTAGAATTCATGCTAATTGCGAATTCCAATTAAAGTTTGTTCATTTTGTTTTTGTTGTTGCCGCCGCCGCTGCTGTTGCCGCCGACGTTGCCTCTGCCACTGTCGATTACTATAAATCCATTTCAAATCGAAAACTACAACGATCAACAGACGCGAAAAAAAGGCAACACACTGAACGATATAAGATGATAGAAAAAAACTACAAAATCAAATTCAAGCGCATAGTAATGAGTTTTTTCTTCTATCTGTGCTGGGAGTTTATATGCTAGATTTACATTTAACCGCAACAGAGCCATAAGTTTAAAATATTGGCGAATAATTTTTTTCTATACAATAATTTTGATTCACTAAAACACTTTGATCGGTTTGCGGTGATTTTTGCATGTGTTTTTGCTGTGTTATTATTATTTTTGAACTCGTGATACGAAGGTAGCTTGTTGTTTACTTTTTTCTCCATGGATCTTCATAAAATTTAATTGTTCACGTTTTTTTGATAAATTTGAAAAGAGAAGAGAAAAAACATACAAACACTTGAATGCATCGCCCACCGAATTACCATACAATTTCACTCCCTTGTAATTTTCAATTTTATTATTAGCATAATTTTCTGTAAAACAAAAAAGATTTCGTGCCGCAGCCGATTAATGGAGATTGTTTTAAGCGCGACTGTACGCAAAATTGGCGAGAAAATTCGTTTTAAGATAAATTAACAAGGATAAAAACAAGTAGATAAACACGAACACAGAAAGAAGAGAGAAAAAAAAGAGGTAACGGCCGTAAGAACGAACCGAAAACGTACCGAATAAAATTGAAACTGAAAACAATGTTGCGTCATATGAATGGCAACACGAGCTAGCAAACAACCTTATCAGCTCGGTGTGTTCAAACAAATACATTCACACACACACATTCACATATACACACACCCATGCTACATTAAAAGAGAAAAAAAAGCACACTCGAACAGAAAAACCATAACAGAATTAGAGTGAAACCGCGCGCTTAACACGACACACAAACAAATCAACCGAAGAGTAAGAGGGACAGAAGTAGATTGAGTGACAGAAAAATCTTGAACATACATAGAACTCCGTCGCTTTTGTTTTTGTTGCTGGATTTCTTCCGTTTTTGTGTTTTGTAATGTAATGCCGTTTTACTCTCAAGCGAATGTCACACAAAATGATACTACACATGCACCACTAACACCGTGACACGATGGCAAATGAATAATAACAATAATAACAAACAGCGAGACGAGAGAATTGTTACGTGGATGCTGTGTGCAAAGGCAGCACACCGCCAACATGAACCGACCACCGTTTCACTCAAGTGATTCATATATGCACAAAAATTGACTGGATATTTTCGTTTATTTTATCAGATGTTTGCATTGACATTGATGTGTTACAAACAAATACATTCGCACACATACTAAAATAGATTCGATTTTACAAAGACGAAAAAAAAATCCACCACAATGAATTAATGTATGCCAATCAATTAGCAGCACTGATTTTTATAGTTCATCGAAAATCGATGTCAAACAAGAAAAATGCAACTGACAAATTCCACTCCCGAAAAAAGTATTTTTTTCTTCTTTTGGAGAAATAATAATATTTCACTATTCATACATATTTCAAGAAATATTTCAAAATCGAATGTGAATTAACGAGATCAAACACACAAACGAAGCAAAAAAGAAATGTATGAATAACTGATATTGATCTAATCATAATGAAAAAAAAAATCACAAATTTTTGTATATGCAAACTTGACACACCGATACGATTCGCAAGACAGACATTCTCGTAACACTTTCATTCACGTACTAACATCAGCAGTGATCTGAGATGACAGCAAAAGTTCACATACAAATTCCAGAATATAGTAACATTGAGTCTCTATTTAACTCACTCACTCGCTCTCGCTCGCTCCTATTCACTACGACTTTAGTTTATGTAGTTGTGCGTTTTGGCAGCTGATATTGTCAATGCGGAATGTTTTGTCTGTTGTTACCGTAACCCGTATGAAAATCAATTAAAATGTTAAATTGATTATTTCGATAATATGGCCATTCGGTGAAAAGTCCATTTGGAATCGATGTAATGCACCGTTGAAATGACAACAGACACACCTGTAACCTATAAAAACCACTTGCAAATGAGAATCTCATTTTGTCTAATGAGAATATCGAAAAAGAAGCTTTGTCAAATATGTCAAAAGCCGAACTGTCATGCAATTTCAAGTGTCACAGTTGTCATCAGCCGCAGCAATTCCAGACTATCATAAAATTAATTTGCTTTCGCCTGCTTGTACAAACAGTTAAACTAAAATTAAAATAAATACGATAAAGATGACGATTCAGCGTGTTATTTGCCAGAGACAGCCGGTCTTTTTGTGCAATCGTGTATCTAATTCAAGTAAAAATATCGTAGTGATTCGTGAAATTTCATCGGATGCATATAAAAGTGATGACTATCAGTATTTACAAAAAGGTCAAATTCCAATGGTGAGTATTTTTCAATACATAACATATGTATGTTTTTTTAATCAATTATTTTTCTTTTTACTAAATTAGTTGCATTTCCAAAGATCATTGCCTCGATTGAAAATACCCGAATTGGAAAAAACTTGCAATCGATTTTTAGCGGCTGTACAACCGTTAAGCCAAAACAAAGCAGCTTTTGATAATTTCATCAAGATCGTTGAACAATTTCGTACGACGGGCAATGGACCACAGCTTCAAAAATTGCTCCGCGAATATGATCAGAAAAATAAACACACAAGCTACATATCAAAGCCGTAAGTTAACATTTTTGTTTTTTTTTTCTTTGTATAGCAATCATTCGGTTTTTTTTTATTTCTTTAGATGGTTTGACATGTATTTAAGTGACCGTAAACCATTGCCAATCAATTACAATCCGGCTTTGGTTATGAAACTCGATGAACGACCCGAATATAATGATCAATTGACACGAACCGCTAACTTGGTGATTACTTCATTGCGTTTCGCAAGATCACTGCGAGAAGAATTATTGGAGCCAGAGGTTTATCATATGAATCCAAAGAAAAGTGACACACAAATATATCGCAACGTGTTGAGCCGAACACCGGCACTCGTTGCCACACTCGTGTCATGGGCATTTAAAGCATTTCCACTTGACATGAGCCAGGTTGAATTCTATTTTATGTTCATCTAATCACAATGTTTAACTTTCTGTGCTCTGATTACAGTATCAAGGGCTCTTTGGGGCAACTCGCGTTCCAAAACGTGGACAAGACGAGATTAAACGTACTGAAAAAACTTCACACATCGTTGTTATGCGAAATGGTCACTTTTATGCCGTCAAAGTGTTCGATAATGATGGTAAAAAGAATCTCAATTTTATGGTTCATTTTATGGATACACTAACGACTGGTAATTTTTCATAGGAAATATTGAAGTACCACGAACAATTGTCAATCGTTTGAAATTCGTTTTGAATGATGCTGCATCAAGCAAGCCTGCCGAATTTCCATTGGGCGTGATGACTGCCGAGAATCGTGACACTTGGGCCGATGTTCGTGAGCATTTGATGAAAACTCACAATGAATCGGCACTAGATACAATTGATTCAGCACTGTTTCTTGTATCACTGGACGACAAAGCTGATTATCCGGCAGAAAATCCAGTTCCGATTGTTCAGAATATGCTACACGGTGATGCAAACGGGCTCATCAATCGGTGGTTTGACAAGTCGTTCTCATTGATTGTATGCAAAGATGGAAATGCGGGCATCAATTTTGAACATTCATGGGGCGATGGTATGGAACAATCATTTCCGATTTTTATCAATGCATAATTATTTTTTTTTTAAATATAAATTAGGTGTGGCGGTGCTTCGGTATTTCAACGAAATTTATAAAGAGACAACGACCAATCCAATTTGTCAACCATCCGATGTGCACAGTGATAGGGTAGAGGATGTTGGTGATGATATATTCAAAATTGGTGTGTTTTAAAAAGAAAAAAAATGGCTTTAATCCTGTCTAGTTATGCAAAAAAAATTAATGTTTCAGAATTCAATTTGGATGATAAGTCAAAGGCAGCTATAAAAAAGGCCCAACAAAACTATGTCAATACAGTCAATTCACTCGAGATGCACACAATGATCAATGATGTGATGACAAAAAGTTTTTGCAAAAATCATAAAGTAAGCCCCGATGCGATCATGCAGCTCGGTATTCAGTTGGCATATTATCAGCAAAACGGTGAATACGTTGGCACTTATGAATCATGTAGTACGGCTGCATTCAGACATGGTAACAAAAAAAAAGAAATTCTTTATTTTATGCCGTCGCTTAATGAATGTTTATTATTCAGGGCGAACTGAAACCATTCGGCCATGTACAATGGATACAAAACTATTTTGCGATGCCACCTCTGGCAAAGTCGATGTATGGGATCGAAATACTTTACGTGAAATGATAATAAAAGCGTCTGATACACATGGAAAATTGATTAAAGAAGCGGCGATGGGTCAGGGATTCGATCGTCATATGTTCGGTTTGAAATATATGGCAGAACAAAATAATATTCCATTGGATCCGATTTTTGAATCAGATGGATATCGCAAATTGAATTACAACATTTTATCCACCTCAAGTTTATCATCCGATGGTTTGTTGGCGGGAAGTTTTGGTCCAGTTGTTCCGGATGGCTATGGCATTGGATATGGAGTACAAGATAAAATGCTCGGAGTCATATTTACTAGTTATAAAGGCAAAAGAGATGCAATCGATTTTGTCGATTGTTTGAACGCATCTTTCGAGACAATTGAACGCGTCTTGGAATTTAAAAAATAATAGATGACTGATTCGATTTCGGAAAGTTTGATGAGATTTGTTACAATAAACGAAAATGAAAATCACATATTTTTTATATATTATATGTACGGTTTGTTGTATTCCTAGAGCGTATTTATTTTCTTTTTTAAATAAAGGTCAAGAGTTTTTACTGTTGTTTAAATTTCGCTAAAAACTGCCATTGATTTAAATAATTTAACTTTCTAATCGGATGTTGGTTGCATCTGAATTCAATTCAAACCAACATTATTCATCCACAACACAATAGAATTTTCGATTCATTTTCCATATTATTGATTGCGAAATAGATTCAACAAATGTATTATTATTTTTTTTAAACAGGATTTTAATCACACACAATGAAAACTGAATTATGATGCGGCAGCAATTGGTTGTTTGGTCGCAGCATATTTTTCATTCAACAATTTTGTACGATGGCTTTGTACACAGTTTTCAAATTCGGCTACAATATTCGAGCAGTTAAGTGTTTGTTGTGGATTTGCTTTGTAGCATTCGACTAGTTTTGCTTTGACATCTTTGCATGGCGGCAATTGATATTGTGGAGCTGAATTCTCAAAACGGCTACGCACTTCATTGAACTGTACAAAAAAAAAAAACAAGGTCATATCAATCAATGTCGTCATCGAAATGTCAGCAGAGTACGTACGGTTTCATTGTATTCCTTTTCCAAAATCGAAGCGGTCTTCTTGAGATCTTCTTCTTGTTTCTTAAGACGGGCCTGCCAATATTCATCATTTTTGCGTAATTCTTCTTCTTTTTGACGACGAATTTCCAATGCCGATATGGTTGAACCGCCTAAAATGAGCAGAAAAAACCATTTGGTTCTTCGTCTCACATTTCGATTTTTTGGCACTTACCGCTATGTATGATTGTTTGAACGGGTACAGGAACAGCTTGTGTTATTGATTGTTTTGGATATTGCTGTTGTTGTTTTTCCCATTCTAATCGTGCTGCGGCCACAGCTGCTTCTGCTACTCTTCGATCATGTTCTTTTTGCTGTGCAACATCTAATCGACGGAGAAACGAAAAAAGAAAAAGTTTCCAAAAAACCATAAGATCAATATCATCTTTTAGCTGTGTCACAACCGATTACATAAACGTTCACTCCGAAATCATAAATCAATTTTGAGGTTATTTATTAATATAACAATTTAAACCTTTGGTATGCAATCCCTTTAGACGATCGACAACAGCTTCCGAAACATCAATTACACTGGCCGGTGAATCGTTTTCAAATTGCACCGTGCGTGGGCTAGAACCTTTTGCACCCATTATTTTGGTTTGGAAGGTCGGGAAATTTTTTCTTTCACCTACGGTAGAAAGTGTAGCAAACAAAACTAATCAAGTGATTCTACATGCAATTCACAGCTCAAACGTCATATCACATCAAGGCACTGTCAGTTTGATATTTTGAATTTTTGATTTCACTGTCAGATGGCGCTAGATAAATGCCGCATCTCGTATTTAAAATTCAACCAAATTGAAATGAAACAACCATTGTTTATCTTTGTTTCCTCAGATTTATTATTTTAATCATAGAAATGAGACTTTTTTTATTACATTAAAATTGTTTCCATAAACTTTCAGTAAAATTCAGCCCTATCATATGAGATCCCTCACCATTAGTTGCGGATAAAAAAATGATGTAGTCTGAACGAATTGAATGTTGAAGGCCAGCGGCCCCAGTCTGCTAACATACAATCATTTGGTAGATTGTTTTTTTTTTCATTCGTTAAGCGTATATTCATCTTCTCCCAGAGAAAGTCACTTCCTCTAGATAAAGATACATTTCTATACACTTAACAATCTTTTGCAAAAGACACGTTCACAATTTTTTTCATTTTTTTCGCTTCATGATACTAATTCGATATTTAAAAAAGATTCAAAAAAGCAATTCATTCTTTGTTTGGTAAAATTTATGTATATAAGCAAAATTGGGTGTAACGAATATGGTAAAAAAAATTTACAATAATTTATATAAAAAACGATTTTTGTGTCTTTTTTTCAACCTTTTTATCATTTTCTTTTCTTTTAATATCATTGTCATGGTTTGAGTATACTCAAAATTCATCGATCAGTACAAACTTTATTCGAACAATGCATGTCAATATCATTGCCATAATATTTGAAATTCGGTTTTCAAAATATTTTTCTATCAACAATAGTAGATTTTTGGAAAAAAGAATATTAGAGAAAAAAATTGAAAATATAGATTATTATCGTTTTTTATTTCGTGATGGAATAAGTTAGCAAGTTGATTTTTCATTTTTTCATAATTTAGATAAGATTCATTGTTTTTTTTTCTTTATACCTAGAAGTAACTATACTGTTTTTACGTCGAATTATTTGGTGTGGTTGACAATAAATTCATTGATTTTTGATTTGGTGTGAATTATTAAACAAACAATATTCATATCGAATTTGAGTAAAGGCATTTTTGCGACCGATTTTATCTCTGTGATTTTCCAAAATTGTCAAATAATTGGTAATTCTTCGTCATTAATCAAAAATGCAATTGCTCAAATCCATTATGATTAACAGTGCCATACATTTATCCATAAGTTTTATGTAAAATAACGAATATATATTTATTCACGTACAGAAAATTAAGCTGTTAATTAACATTAAAAAAAAGTCACTTACTTTATATTCTAAGCATTTGGTAAAGGAAAAATGTGGAATAATACCGAATTTTGTTGAACTTCTGCCCAAAAACCGAGAGAAATTTATTTACTTTTTTCAGTATGTATTTGTCAATTTCTTCAGTATGGATAGATAGTTTGTTGTCTTAGTTCTAAGAGTATCAAATTCATTCAAGAATCGGTCATAAATATTTGAGCCATTTTTTATCTTTGGTCACGAAATGTCTCGTACAACTTGAAGCTCGAAAAATGATATTAAGTGATGAGATTAAAAAAAAATATGTGCAAAAAAAGTCATCAGTGCAATCGAATTTCCATTTGCCAAAATTTCAAGGTGTGTGTGTGGAATACTTTTAAATTTTTATATACAATAAATATCAAAAACTCATTTCCCAATTATTAGTTTCTTCATCCCCATACCAAATGACAGTCATAGACATCGTCATCATAGACCAAATCTATTGAAATAAAATCGGATTTAAAAATGTGTAAATCTAATTTGCCGTAGGTGGCTGTGTTCTATGGTTTTGTATAATGAAATTATTGCTTTTGTCATCGTCGATAATACAATGTCGACTGTCATTTTGCATATTACCGGTAAACGTTGCGGCCATATTTAAAGCTCTTGTTACAAATGATGATTTCCGCGTCGACCGTTCGGATAATTCAAGTTCTTCGATTACTTCTCTCGATATCGCCTGATATTCTTCGTTCATTGTATCGTAAGTGCGTGCAATCAATTGATCTAAATCGAATTTGGTCAGACCGGCGGTTGGAATCGGTGGTAATGCACTTATTATAATGTGTCCGCTGTTCAAATGCTTATTTTTATCATCCAAAAATGTTCGATATGAACTAAAGACCACTGGTAAAATTGGTATTTGTGCATTTATGGCTACGTGGAATGCGCCCTTTTTGAATGGATGCAATTCGCCGGTATTTCGACGTGTACCCTCTGCAAATATCCAAAGTTTAATCTTTTTATTTTTTATGTTTGTCGATGCTTTGTTTAGATGATCACGTGCTCGATCTGATTGCATGCGATCGATGAATATCAATCCGCACAGCCACGCTGCCAGTCCAAAGGGCCACGCAAAAAATAGTTCACGTTTTGCAACTACCGTACACTTCGACATCACGGGCCAGATATCAAACATTCCTGTGAAACGATAAAAAAAAGAGACGTTTGATTAATTTGATTTAAATGCGGTGTGACGCCATTTTTTATCTTACCCAATATATCGAGCGAACTTTGATGATTTGCCACAATGATACATGCTTGATCCTTTTCCAAGTGTTCCTTTCCCCGCAGCTCCCATTTCAAACCCAACACAGTTGATATGTGATGACAAAACGAACTAGCCAATCTGTAAACAAACAAACAAACAAAAAGCATTAGGCAAACATTCTCTTTCGACACACAAATATTTGGAAATGATTTCCAATGTCAATATTTGCTAACCAGGTTAGCTGATTTTTACGATTTGACAAAGGATTTTATTATACATGATTTTATATTGGTGAATATAGGTAGCATTTTATTGTTGTTTGGTATGAACATCAGTCGCATTAAACGATGTTAAAACGAAATTGTATCGAACGATGAACACGTGTCCAATAAAATGTTGGCGTCAAGCGATTTTTTTGCTTTGATTTTCTCTTTTCAACTTTTATTAAATGTAATCATATACAGTAGAACTTCGATTATCCGTCAGGCACGGGACCAACGTCCTGACGGATAAACAAATAGACGGATAATCGAGAATCGAACAAAAATTAAATTTTAAACAAAAACATCAACAAGTTACAATCGAATACAAAATGAAAAATGATCATTTTTTATGTTTTTAAAAAATGAAAAAAGATTTAAAAAAATTGTGTTTACAATCGAACGCAAAAATGTTGAAATGAATGGAAAATGTTTGTTTTTTCATGACTTTGTGAAAATTTCACATGTAATCAATAAGCATTGATTTTTGCGCAAATATAAAAACAAAATATCAAAACAATTTTTTGTTCTGACTGTGATGGTTAACCGGAGTGACGGTTAATCGGAAGACGGATAATCGAAGTTCTATTGTATTATGTTGATAAGATTCTGATGCCCGTGAATGATGGTGAGTCTACAATATTCGGAATAGAACAATTTCACGTAGAATATTGTTTGGGGGAAAATAAAAACTCTTTCGGAATTCCAAAGATTAAATCGAGAAACACAGACGAATCGACATAATTTTAATAAATTCGTTTTTTGTATACGAACACGTTTGTTCGTTCGTAATTTATGAAAATTCATTTTCTCAAAATAAACAAATATTGTGATAATAAATGTAAATTTGAAAAACCTTAAATCGATTTTTCCCGCTTTTCCGATGGGAAATCGTGAAAAATAAGCAAAATTTTGACTCTCGTACGAAAAAATTTTTTTTTTCACTTTTTTTGTGCATTATACCCAGTCTCCTAGAGTTTCATATAAGGATGCCATGTAACTGCAGAAAGACAGTCGAAAATATTGAAAAAATTTTCTTTCGTTTTTTTCGACCGTCTTTGTGCTGCTACATGACTAGCTTATATGACTGGGTATAATGCAAGAAAAAAGTGAAATTTTTTTTCCATATTTTTGTGCACTATATCGAGTCTCCGAGAGTTTCATATAAGCTTGCCATGTAGCAGCACAAAGACGGTCGAAAAGACGAAAAAATTTTTTTCAATATTTTCGACTGTCTTTCTGCAGTTACATGGCCTTATATGAAACTCCCGGAGACTGGGTATAATGCACAACATAGATGATGACGTAAAAAATTTTTGGGGGGAGGGGTGATGGCAAAATTCTGTAGGGGGTTCCTGGAAAAATCCATGGGGGGTCCCTGACGATGTCGTTTTTTTTTTGGAAGTCACTTTTTGAGGTGAAAATCCCTAGCAAATCGAAAGAATTTTCTCGGCCAAAAAAAGTGAAGAGCAAAAAAAAGGTCTTCATTTCCAAAATTGTTGAGGGTTCCTAAAAATATTTTCGTACGAACAACGAACGAACAATCCGAACATTTCATTTTCTATGAACGAACGAACGTGCAACTAGGGGGTAGACACATGGAATATTACTTGAGATATTCACCGAAATTGAAGGTACTCTTGGTATTCTTGGTATTCTCAGTTTTAGACGAAATGTCAATGCATTCAGCAACGTCTCACAATGTGCATATATGAATATTATCTTCCAAATATTAAAAAAACTTTTTCAACGCTATTAAGTTTAGTATTTCAATTGGTTTAATAAATACAAAAACAATTTTGATAAAAATAGCAGAAAGAAAACGGAAAAAATTAAAATAAATTTCGAAATGGTGAATGTTAAAACGAAATGGAAGAAACTTGAAATCTTTATTACCGATATCAATTTGACATTTGGTAATCACGGTATTCACATTTTTAGTACAAGTAATCTTTAAATAAGTAAGTAATTGTCATATTTGAAAATAGATAGGTATTATGACAATTCATTGGTATTCATTCATTCTCTATTGTGTCTACCCCCTAAACGTGCAAAAAGACCAAAAAAATATTCTACGAGCGAACGAACGTGTCAGTTACAAGATTGATTCAATCGATTGCAAATAAAATGAAAGTGAAATCGAATGTCATTGAAAACTGATGAAACAAGCTATTACCACAGCAATTTCCGCGAATTGAAATATTTTTCGACAAATCCAGAATATTTTTGTGCCTGATCTTAAAGTTCACGTCATTTGAAAAGTGAGTAATTCGCCAGTATCAAAAACCGGCTCTTATAAAAATGACGTTCAACCCGTTTAACTTAAAAATAATTCTCTCCTAACCATAAGAAGCTTGATTTTTTTTTTACAAAAATAAACAATGTGGCAAAAATCGAAAAAACTTCGTGTCAATTTCCTCTTGTAAAAGTATATACTGCTAATCGAAACGGTTTATGTTACATTTCGTGTTACATGACTTTTTTTGTTAGAACATATTCATGGCAACATGCAAGAATTGTATGACAACGAGTCATCAAGTGAGAATGTGATAATTTTGTTTATTCTGCATTGACATGAACAATTATGCTGATGTAATTTGATGGCATTTATTGAACTTTGATTAAAGATCGTTGGCACTAAACGCCACACAAATTTGAAATTGCCAAAAAATAGAAAATATGATTATCATAAGTGCATACTTAATAACTAGTTCACAAGTTTTGTTCGTCAAGCAATTGATTTCCTTTGTTTCGCAAATGAAAACGACTGTTTATAGTCCGAAAGTACCATAATTGAATTATCATTACCATAATTAAAAATCATTGATAAGAACGGTCTTACAAAACTGCTACTATCTGGTGATCAATTTGAAATGATCGAGTAAACAACGTTTTCGTGTTATGATGTTTTGTTTCGAATCGCATTCATTTTAAATCATTACAATAGTACACATCGTAGACAAGTAAATGAATCATGAATTGATAAACGAATCATAAGGTGTGTAAATGAAATCCAAACGTGGCTGATTGAATTTTTTATGAATACAAACATGAAAACTACTTGACATTGACATGTGATCATTCTTTTCTTTTTATCGCATCCATCATTTCGCACATATCGAAATGAAAACGCTTTACTATTCAATCAATATATTGATAAATTTACGATGAAATAATTGGATTTTCATATGAATACTTAAAAATGATTACATTGAAGGAGTTTATTTGGACGTAATCGTGAAATATTACAGTTGTTTCAATTTAATGGCCAGCAGCTAATGTGAGAAAATAGAGTGTGGATTGATTTATAATGATAATAACATATTAACCTTTATACCAATGTCAGAATGTGTTTTATTTCCTTGCAACTGTTTGGTACGATAGTTACCGGACGGAAAAGTATTCGATTGAACACGTTGTATATACCATATACAAATAACAGGTTTTGAAGCATTTATATTAAAAATTGTAGCATAATAGAGTATGGTGCGAGGGTTGAATCATTGTTACCGCAAGTATGACTGTATGAGAAATTGAACATATTGCTGTCCCAGTCGAATGTGAAAATAAAATTCAAATGAGATTTTTTAAAATGCAAACACCGTTGCATGGCAGGTGCATATTATTTAATTCAATAAAAAGAAATCCATGCATTCGATTTTGCATGCCGCATTTCCAAAAATGGTATTCGCAAGTGGTTACGTCAACGAATATTTTCAACGAGTCCAAGGTATCTAAAAGGTTCTCTTTTGAATTTCAATTAAACGAATTTTATACTGAATAGACGCTTGGCAGAAGAGCAAGATTTCATATTGTACTTAATAATATTTCATCTAAACAAGAGTATCAAATTACAACTTGCGCATGTAATCTTCTACACCATGATGGAAAATAAAGACCTTTTTTATTTATACATCTGTCGAAAATTGTCTATTTTTATAAAATGATAAGAGCGAAAGTAATCAAGTTGATGTTTGATAAGAGACCAAGTACAAAATTGCAATTTAATTTTGCTTCCGTTTTAAGTGTGCATAATTTTCTTTGAACTTGAACAAAATCAGATCTGTTGCCGTATGAACGCTCCAAGCAAGTTCATTGTGCAAGTGTGAATTTAATTTCACTTTTAATGCAATCAACTCGTTTCTTTCGTTCTATTTATTTCATTCAACTGAAATCAATTTCGCATTTGCCATGGCAAAAGTTACGCAGAGAATGTTTCGATGGAATGTTGTTCTTGTTCATAATGAAGTATTTCAGTGGGTTGGGAAGTTGTAGCCGTTTTTGTTCTCCGTTTTGCCGAGAACACTAGAATGTTGTACAATGAACGGATGCAAAATCCAAAGAGCATTTGATTTATGTTTATGACGCAATAAATTGTATACGGTTTTTATAAATAAGTTTATAATGGATTAGAAATACTTAATATTTTTCCTCGAGAAAGTCATTTTAGCTTATTTTCTTCTTTCAATTAACGTCATGTTTTGCTTTCGATTTTTTTATTTGACTTTCACCATAATATTTTAGTATGCATCAATGGTGACTCCAACGATGAAAAATATCAAAAAATTCGATTCAAATGAACATATTCTTATTTTGTATGCAAATGTCGTACAAACACGAAAAGCGGATTCAATTGTAATTGTTTTGTATTGGTACGTTCCGTTGAACTTCGAATACCGTGTCTAAATTCGTATTGAAGCGCAATACACTTGATGAGGACTGAAAGAAAAAGTAGACAAATCTCTAATAATGGGAATTGGAGCGTGTTTGAGACATGGAAAAATTGTATGTTATTTCGATTTAAAAGAATAGAAAGAGAATTTTTGAACTTTTGTATACAATTTGACCATGATTTTTTTGAAAATAAACATTTTTCTGAAGCAGGTCATATATAATTCAAGTAAAACTACGCAGACTTGATGTTTGAAAAATGTGTATACACAGATAATTACTGTCTGTGTTGGATTTGCTATGAAATTGTCACATTTTTTTTTTTGATTTTTCGATGTCTTCGCATCAAATATTTACAGAACATGACCGACATAAACACAATGACGACACATCTATGTGATGATTTAGTTCAATATAGATGAACTTTGTCGCAGGAAACTAGTGTCGGCGATTCATTCATTTTAATCATGTTCACAATTAAATCCTTCTTGTAAATAGAGCACTACTCCAGACAGTTCAAGCTATAATGATCACTTTACATGCACTGTCAATGATATGTGTGTGTTTTTTTTTTGAATGAACGAATAGGAAATTGCCAACGGCCAAAAATAATGATCTTCTTGCAGACACATTAAGAACGGAAGGTTCAACCTACAATGTCAAAGAATAAAATAGAATTGTTCTAGAGCACAGTAGGAAAGTAAAATGTGTTCAAGTGATGTAGTAGCAGGTAAAAATCCATAAATTTAAATGAAAAGGTCAAACCGTATGTTCAACCGTGGTTTGTATAAACTTCGTTTATTAAAAATGAAAAACAAATAAAATGAAGTGCAAAAAAACAAAACTAAAGAGAGTAACTAGTCGCATAGGGTAAATGGTGGCATTGCAACTTTTTTGCATCTACCTTCCCAAGAAAAGTATTTACAATATTTAAATCTTCTCACAAAATATTATTATTTAAATATTGTTGTACGCAGCGTGGATTTTATGAAAGGTTTGCTTGGGACCATATTGCGTTTTCGCACACGCTGGGGTGTTTGTTCTTAAATATGCATAACCATTTAGCATGAAAATGAACATGAATCGACGATACAAATCGCATAAATTTGTGCTTTCCACTTTTTGCGTTTTGCTTTAAACAACAGCAACAACATTCCAAATAAGCGACATTGAGGATGACAAGTTGTGTGCTCCTTTTTTTCATTTAAAATTCGTAAAATCGCTGCCAATAACGTGATGATGACATTTTCCATTTGGTACATACATGTCGCCAACAATCGGAACTGGCATCGGTTTTTCACAGATTTCAAACATTCGTGTCTCATTTTTTTTCTATCAGTGCGTGTTTATTTTCACAATTATGCGATATTTTCCAATTTTTTTTGACTCCATTACTCGGGCATCGAATTGAAATTCCAATTTCAACTCTCCATGTTACTGTCACTTCAAACAAGCTGACATCGAAAGCAATTTTGTGAGTAAATTTTTCAATCATTTACACACAGAGCACCAATGGAAAATTGAATTTTTATAAAAAAACGATCCACTAAATGAAAAACTTACAATAAATTTTTGACATCACAGGGACGAAACAGCATTGGCGGTATCAGAATAATCGAATTAATCGATACAATTGAATAGTATACGGCGAATTTAAAGTAATATCGAAATACATGGCTGGTTTCATACAGAAATGGCAGCAACAGTATTAAACATATCACGAAAATTTCAAAGTATGTTGTCGATGCCATATTCTCACGATAAAACTCCATATGGATTGAAACAGAAATGTTCTGTACTTTGTTTCTCAGAATTTTCTCCTTCGATTAATGGTCCTGTCGTAAAACGACTCTTTGTTTATTGCTTTTTTTGATAATCGTTTTATTCATCCAACTTTATAGTTCAGAAATTTGCGCACTGTCTTTCCACAGATCAATCCATCTATTTGTTTTCCGTTTTCGTTTTTTTTTCGTTGTTGTTCACGTCATTGTAACATAAAATCAAACTGAATGTTTTGCAATATTATTAAATTTGTCACTAGGTTTCCTATTTTTGTCAACCACACATTCTTCACAACCCAAAAATGATATTTAATAAGATAAGGTTTTAACAAGATGATCTCCGCTGCGATATTCAATTTGGTACACTCTGAACCAGAACATTCAATCGAAGTGAATAACTAACATTGTTATGGTCACAAAATCATATATAACATTTTGTTTCAACACTGTAACAAGTAGACTGTAGATTGACCAAAATTAGATGGAGTATGTGAACCGAAAAATTGACTTATGAGAAGATTATTACAAACACACTGAATCATACAAATCTGATTATTCGAACATTCACATTTTTCGCCGAAAAAAAACCGGGTAATTAGTCTGCTCGTTGTCTACGATATTTAGCTTGGTTTGATACACATCGAATTCGGCGTATTTGCATGCGTAAACAAAATGTAGTTCGTATGTTTTCGGGCTAATGATCGATTATTTTGGCCAATGTTTTTTCTACGCTACAAAACTATGGTAATTATTATTTTGGTAACTTCGCACAATGTGTTTATTCGGCAAATATTTTGTTTTAGTGACGGAAAATAATGTGAAACGTAAATTGTTGACCATTTAGCACTTGAAATCAATCCCGTTAACGAATGAGTATTTCACTTGGATATCAATCACTGACTGAACGCACAAAACAAATTACACGGTACCGAACCGTCTAGATTGTTCACAGATACACAGACAGAGTCAAAATAAAAGACACAAAATAGCACTTATATACTGCACAGCACTCGTTGGAGTTGTAAGGAAATTCTCGGTTCAATGCAATACATACAGCGATGTATGCTTGAGAAAGAATGACTGTTGATTGTTTTGTTTTGTTTTCAGTGTCTCGACATCTGTTTTCGTTTTGAAAAGAAAACAACAACTTTCGTCTCAAATAATTTTCATTTGCATCCAAGACCCGAACAATACGGCAAGCAATCTTAAATTAAATCAATTGTGTCGCTTTTATTCTCATTGCTCTTGAATATCGTTTGCATCAATATGATGACGTAGTATTTATGGTCGAGATGCTTAATAACTTTATAATTCGTATGGCTATATATATATCGTTTTGACGGCACAACTACACCGTGCACACCCGCGTCGTTAACCAAACACAATATACGCGAACGCCCGTTCCTTGCGCTATTAATATAAATGCAATTAAACGCAAAACCATTCACATATATTTTATGCTCAGAACTTTATTCTAATATTTATAAAATGTAATCGGATGAACGCACTAACGTGTGTATTGAATGCAATTACTCCGCGCAGAATAATACAAAGTTTAACAACCTTTTTCTGACTGAATACACTTTAATTTAAATTTCACAAATTCATTGTTTATTTTTCACGCGAATTTCATTTATAATTTAAAAGTAAATGTAGGTCCTTTCATTTTGAATCGATGTTATTGTAGATGACCAAGACAGCTATGTACGTTCATTAAACTATGTTCATTCGTATTCATTGCGCATTACACACATTTTCATAAACTGGAAAATTTGTAACAAACAATGTGTTCTCGCCTCTTTTTTCCACTCATTTGTGTATTATTTACATTTATTTGGAAAATTTCCGCAGCGGTAGATATTTTGACAGTCACTACATAAATGAATAATGCCGTTTGATTTCCAGGATAAAAACCAAATTGTCAATGTGTGCGTGTGTCTCCGTGGGGTTGCGGTTCACTGTACGATACATAAATGCCTAAATCCTTTTTGTCAACATAAATATACACATAATCGAACCGTTAGGTCACTTCATACGCACTCTAACTGTCAATATTCAAACTAAAATACTGTCAAATATACAATTAACTTTCCGCTTCAATATTTAATATTGGAATTGGGAAATAAATATTGAAATAATATTTCTAATATTCCTTTGACATCTTTTTTTTCTGAATTTGATAAAAAAATCATGAAGACGATTTTTGTAAATTATTGACGAGACCAATGAGTTTCTTGAGATTTATGTTGAGTTTCAATGATTCATAATATTCATTTATATGTTCTGTTTCTGATGCATAGTTCCTTTCCGCCAATATGTGAGCAATAATAACTCTGTTATGTTAATTTTTATTTCCTTTGCAATTTAAATAAATAATTTAAAAATTGAAAAACCATTCGATGCATGTGTAAATTAACAATTTTATTGACAATAATTTTCTCATTTGAATATGATATTTGTTAAGACCTTATCGTGCTGGTTCGAAACTATAGTGTTTTGCACCATTTTTCACATCTTTCGGCATCTGTCTCGGCATCGCTGGCTGATACATTTTTTTGTCCTCTAGGAAAACATACAGTGCAAAAGTTCCACACATAACACCAAGGAACGATGCCCACATAACCTATTTGAAATTCAAAAACAAAAGTCAAATCGATTCTGTGAATGTTATTTATTTTGTGAACGAGATGAAACTTACCCCCATTGAATATCTGAGCGGTGCGGCTGTTCCGGCACGAGTTTCTTCATGCAAATCATGTTCAGCATGAATCTAAATATACAATTAGAATATTGAGTATAGATATTGGAATGAATTGTTGTAATGAATTTCATACCGGTTCACCAAAATTTCTGCGGAATTCAGGGTGATCATATGGATAATAGATATCTTTTTGCTCGTATGGTTTGTCTGACAAATAGAAATTAAAATGTTATGTTTTTTTTTTGTAATTTAAAGTTAATGAAAAATAGTTGTATTTCGCTCGAAAGATGCTTACCTTCTAAATGAGGATAATCGCCGTAAGGTACTAAAAGTAACAAAAAAAAGATAATCTTCAATTGAATAAAATATAGTCATGAATGCCTTACAGTCATCTGGGTAGGTTTTATATTCTTCGGGCAGTAATCCATATTTCTTTGCCGCTGCACGACGTTCTTCCTCGGTTTTTGGAAGTGGTTCTGGCGCGAAATCTTTATTCCATCCTGAAAAAAGAGCAAGCATAAAATGTTGACCCGTTCAAAAATGTTCACTTTTAACATCAAATGCAATCATTCCGTGTCATATCACTGTGTTTGTGTTATTTCTATTACGTAAATAACCAACAAATTTTTTTTCCACATTGAATTTCAGTGATTGAGTGCAATGAATGAAAATCGATTTTATGAAATTGATAAATACCTCCAGCATTTCGCACAATTGTGTAAATTGCTGCCGGATTTTTGTTTATCCTATTAAAGAATTTTACACTTTTTATTAGAGCTGACATTGTTACGTTCCGAGGACTACTATGAAAATACTTGTATTTTATTCTCAATTGTACAAATGACAGATGGCATTCAAATACTGATTGTGAGCGTGCGTTCAATGCACTCACATTTTAAATAGTTAGCAGCCCATCTCCAAATTAATGAGAAACATATGGTCACATTCTTTTTTTACTCCAAACATTGGTTTTTTTCTACAAATTATAATAAATTTAATTTTTTAATTAAAAAAATGATTGAAGAAAAAATTCTCATGTAATCTTGAGTGACAGCATTTGCACAAAATCCATACAACAACAATACTAGTGTTGTCCGATGCATGTTTGTAGCAAAGCAAGCCGTCAGTCATGTTGAATATATATTCATCGTTTGTGTCAAAACATAGGAGTGCATATTGCGTTTGTTCACGCGTTCAATTCATTTTATTTTGTTAAAAAGCATTTGGACAACAGAAATATTCGAATATTTGTCAAATTTCAAGCACGATTTACATTTAGTTAAGTGGGAATTCGGTTGAACAAATCGAAGAAAAGCTATTTCGATTGCATTTACAAATACATACCAAAAGTAAGGTTATAGCAGCATACGCGCTTAATTTCTTGTACAACAATATAAGAGAAAAAGGAAACAATGGTGCCAATTGGACATCCAGGTGCACCGCACAATATGCATGGACCGCATTCAATGTCATCAATGCCCAGCGCACCATCCGGACCAAATACATTGTCGACAAATCAATCAAACAAAGGGGCATCATCGGTGGTAGGTGTCATGAATCAATGTGCTGCATGAATGCTATAAATATGATATGATTTTACTCTAATTATGCGTTTTATTTTAAATGATTCGATGAACTTTCTTTCGTAGAAACCAAATTACACATTGAAATTCACATTGGCCGGTCACACAAAGGCCGTGTCAGCAGTAAAATTCAGTGCTAACGGTGAATGGCTCGCCAGTTCATGTAAGTAGAGTCTGAACGATCTTTACGTAAGTAAAGTATAATTGTATTATTATTATTTTTTGGTTATAGCGGCTGATAAATTGATTAAAATTTGGGGTGCGTACGATGGTAAATTCGAAAAAACGATTGCCGGTCACAAATTGGGTATTAGCGATGTTGCATGGTCCAGTGATAGTCGTTTATTGGTCAGTGCCAGTGACGATAAGACACTTAAATTGTGGGAATTGAGCAGTGGAAAATGTTTAAAAACACTTAAAGGTCACAGCAATTATGTATTTTGTTGCAATTTCAATCCACAAAGCAATTTAATTGTATCGGGTAGTTTTGATGAGAGCGTACGCATTTGGGATGTTCGAACCGGTAAATGTTTAAAAACACTGCCGGCACATTCGGATCCAGTGAGTGCGGTTAATTTCAATCGTGACGGTTCGCTCATTGTGTCATCCAGTTATGATGGTTTGTGCCGTATATGGGATACAGCTTCTGGTCAATGTTTGAAAACACTCATCGATGACGACAATCCGCCCGTGTCGTTTGTCAAATTTTCACCAAACGGCAAATACATTTTGGCCGCCACACTTGACAACACACTTAAGCTGTGGGACTATTCAAAGGGAAAATGCTTAAAAACTTACAACGGCCACAAAAATGAAAAATACTGTATATTCGCCAATTTCTCAGTCACCGGCGGAAAGGTAAATTCATTCATTCAAAATGTTTGCTTGTGCAGTTGAATTTCATTGCATTTGAAATGTGTTTGATTTGTTATTTCAGTGGATTGTATCGGGCAGTGAAGATAATATGGTTTACATTTGGAATCTACAAAGCAAAGAAGTTGTACAACGTTTACAAGGGCATTCAGATGTAGTACTTTGTACGGCCTGTCATCCGACCGAAAATATCATCGCATCGGCCGCACTCGAAAACGACAAAACAATCAAACTGTGGAAGAGTGATACATAAACTACATAAAACCAATCGTTTTTAAGACATTTTTCCGAAACTTTCAATGTAAATCATCTTTTCAGTTTCTTTTTTACATTTTGAGAAGTTCTACTTGAGTTTTTAGCATGTAAGAGATTTTAATTCTGGAAATGATTTTTTTTCTTCTTAAGTCACATTCAAAAAAAACATACAGAAAAACAAAATAATGAAAATATATACGCATAATTTAAGTCTATTAAACAATTTAACTGGAGAAGAAAAAAATATGATACAGATTGCATTTATACAGAACCGCGCTTGTAATGATCTTGAAAAAACATATAATTTTGACAAACTCAGATATATAATGCAGAATAAAACGACATTCATTATATCTAGCATTTTTCCTCCCTTTTGACAAATATTTTGAAGAGTTACGAAAATAAAATATATGAATGCAGAAAGTAAATGGTTATGGGTTTTTTCTTAAACGACTTCAGTTAACAAAATTTAATTTCAGCTAACCAGTCAGTCAGTCACTTTTTTTTCCACAAGGGAATAAATGACTGTTAACACGAACGCAATGAAGCGATGAATTTGAATGAGCCAATGAATATTTCGTAAGTATTTTATTCACAAAGCACGGAAAATGATCTACCAATAACTTCTTTCGCCACGAAATTGATATCAGAAATGTTGATTTCGTCGCTCATTCTTCAATCTCGATAAAGGTTATTTGATATCAAAAAGTTTGTAATTTACATTTTCCAAAGTAAAGATTCAAAGTATCCCTCAGGGTTTGAATAATTTTAATTTGGGGCAAAAATAAAGGAGAATCGAGAAAAATTCAACCTAATACTAATTTCGAGAAATTGACCAATTTGTGTTTGATCGGTCATAAAATAATAACGTAAACCTACAGAAGGGGTCCATTAGTATGAAAAATCTACGAAATGAACAAAATCATATATTTTTTAGTCAAGTCATACGATATGGCAATTGATTTTTTGTCCGTTATGTATCTGGCCGGCAGATTCTTAGTTTTGACATTTTTAGATTTCAATTGGCATCATTCGATAGCTCATTCGAAGTGAAATTCAGGAGGATGTGTTAGAAAAAAATTCTTGGAATGTTGCCAAAAAAAAACTAAATAATTTAAATAAAGTAAAGAATTTTACTTTATTTAAATTACAATTTTACGTATAGTTAGTGATACGCTACTTTTGAGCAAAAAAAAAATTTAACAATTGGGTCTGTTCGGTGTGACAGATAACTTCATTTATACCAGCGATTAGGGATTCATGTCTGGCCATTGGCATACATAAAATATCTGTCATATCACACAGATCCATCTGTATATCCGCTGATACGGACGCATACGGGTGTTATCCCAATGAGACGAAAAATTCAATAAATTCAAGAACAAATTGTATTTATTCAGATATTTGTTTGATAAAAATCACATCATAAAGATTTCATATTTTATGAAAAAAAAAATTTAATCATTTTTTTATTACATTGAAAACAACAATAGATTATTCTGATTTAGCAAAAATGGTTAGTCTAAGCTATCAAGCTGAATTTGTATGTGTTCAAATTCAAATAAATTTCTTTGTCATTGTGATGTATTAGTCGTTGCAAAAGCCTATATTGCTTCTTATTAGTACAATATTTAAATATTTCTTCGTTTTTTTTTTTCAAATAATAAATTAAGCAAACACTCTAAACAAAAAAGAAGAAGAAAAAAAAACAAAAAAGAAATTAATTCGTTGTAGCGAATTCGTTGTGAAAACGTCTATAGGTGAATTAAGGGATTAAATATATATAAATATAAAATGAGACAGCTGCTCAAAAGCAGTCAATCTTTCAATTTTTTTTGTCTTCGTAGCGGCGTGCGATTGATTTATGCTTTGGAGCGTTCTTCAATGTACGTGAGTGCGTCGCGTAAAATGCGTTTTTCTGTGATGCGATAATGGATGATCATTGTTTTAATGTGGCCCAATTTTTGTTGTCCCTTTTTCTGATGTTGTTCCAGCAATTTAACGTCATCTTCTAAATTGGTTGGGAATGCTTTCAACAACAATGTTAATCGCATTTTTAAGAAATTCCACGTTTTTATTTCGAGCGCAGTTTCAAGTGCACAATCCAAATAGAGTAAATCGCTGCCAACTTTTTCTGGTGCCAGCCAGTGCTTGAGCTGTTCTTCGTTCATATTAAAAATGCGTACGAATGCTAGCAATTCGGGTGATATAAATTTTGGTGCTGGTAATACTGTGATTTCACTATTTTTTGTTATTCCTATGCTCTCCAATAATTGCGTTCTTTGTCGGAAAAGCGGATCCGATTGGCTCAAACCCAATCGAATAACTACACTATCCCATTGATTGTTTTCGACAACGAAACTGAAAAAGAGAACAAAAAACAAACAAATCATTTAATTACAATTGCATAAGTCTTAAATAAATGGATCGCATTACCCATTGTGCACGAGTAAATTGGCATTATTACGATTTCCATAATGAATGAAAATCTGTTCGTCTTTTTTAACATCGTTCAATGTGGCTCCGACGATTTGAGCGTTGGTAATGTTGTATGATGTGGTAACAATACCATCAGAGTGATTGGCCACGTCCCAAAGTGGAATTAATGCCGGCGTCTCAGCTGATTCTTCTTTGGTTCCGGCATCGTTTTCACCTTTTGAATTTTGTGCGTCCGATTTTGCATCGGTGTTGTTGTTGTTCATTTCCGATGGTATCGAGTTCTGTCGAGTCATCACCGTGCTAACAGCCCAGCTTCAAAATAAACCAAACAAAAACATAAATAAACCATTAAATTACTCTGTTGCTATTATGGTATGTGCGTGTTACGTCGTTGTTATTTTTTAATTGAAATTCTCTTTTTTTTGAAATATTGAAAACCAATTGAAACCAGACAATGATAGTATCAATTGACAAATGAATAGGGAAACCAAATACGATTGGTAAATATTGTTTGTGGAATGAACGTAAAACGATTGGTAATTTTGTGAAATTTTTTCCACATTAATAAAACCTCTTAAATACTATTTTCAAATGATATGCAAATCAGCGCAGAGTTAAAAAACAAGTCATAATATCAACACTTTTAATCACATCACATCAATTCGACTGGATGGCATAAAATCAATTACATATAGAGTATTTATTCGCCAATATATGAAAATCAAATGCTCTGTGCATTTCACGAATGTGATTACGGATTGAATGACGAAAAACTCCTGCCAAACCGAATACAATTCATAGTGGCATTTGCTTTAATGGAGAAATTCACTTTTTAAAAAAAATTGTATGTGCAAACATTTGACAGGAGAGTGAAATAAACATGCGAGTGATAGAACACAGCTGGCAATGAGATTTTATTGTTATTATGTACACTAAACAAAAAAGCATCTCGACATAAATGGTCATAAACGAAAATGATTATTATGTTGATGAGAATAGTGTTTTTCCATTAGCTTAACGCTTGTCTCGCATTATGCGATGCTGCTGGCATACTTGTTTCATTTTAATCAAATGAAATTCACCATTTCCATATTTTGAGTTAAGTAATAAATATTCATGCATCAACTGGGAATTCACATTTCTGCGCTTCAATTGGAATCGTTCAGTTTGGTTTACAATTTTAACAAATAAATTGAACAACCAACGAGCATCTGAAGAAAGTGAAAGCGTTCGAGCGTACACGATATTCGATCTGTGTATATCAACACTTCAAACGCATCGATTGTGCGCGTTTGTGTGTGCCTTGAATGTGGTTTTGCAACGAGAATTTATGTTTTGCATGCCAAAGCAACTCCGACATGCTGACAAAGTATATACACTTAATAATTTACCGATTCAAAGAGCGGTTGCACGGCTGCTACTAAACGACGGCTTTACGGCACGTCATTTTGAACCATAAACACTAAATCATCCACACACACAAAATTCAACGTGTATATGCTCTCATTGTTTGCAAAAAAACTGGTGTATTTAATGTAATTCATGTGAGCCGTAAATCAAGTGAGAGATTATTGACCTTGCCATTGTGCACGACGAATTTTAAACCAACACTAACAACATCGTACATTTTCTTCATCTCTCACCTCATCAACTGGTTTGGTAGTTCACGTTCACTTGAACTACATTAGATGAGAGAGAGAGAGAAAAAAAGTAAGAGTTTTTATTTCTTTCTCTCGCTATTCGTTTTTCGTCTTCATCTTCCGGATTAATTAAGTTATGGAAATCAAATCGTACTCAATCTGTATGTTATATTTTCGCACTGTGTATTTAGTTTGGCTAAACGACATTAGCGCGAAATCGAGCATAAATGATAAATGATCATCGTCAAATTACGTTCAATAACCATGTTAAATGTATGACCATTATTACAATACGTATACATAATGAATTGTGTTCACTTTAAATTGATGCATAATTTTAATTATATCGGTGAACACCTTATGTTCTTTTAAAGTGATTATTTTTGCATTAGTTTCGCTTCGCTTCATTATACTTGCTTAACAATTTACTGTGCTGTGCATAATTGAAATGCAAAAGCTCGGTGCAACCGATGATTAATGATGGCATTTGTCGATTGTAGCATAGTATCACATGTTCTCCCGACTTTTCTACTTAAAATCGAGTACATTATTTACATAATAACTTACATCAAGAATTCTGCCACTAAATTTCAGTGCTATCATTTTTTTATGTTGCATTTACGATGATTATCATCATAAGTATGTGGCTGTTGCTGTTTTTGCTCCAATTTTTTAACTAATTGTATGAGCGAGCGAGAAAGAGAGAGTACAAGGTAAAGAGCAATAGAATCGAGCGTGTGCTTGTGTTTTTCGCGCGAATTTTAGTTTGCATTTTCGTTGAATTCGTAGTAAATATCAAAATGCTCATATTTTTTTTGCTCTCTTCATTTTGTGCTCTATAAATCATATCACAAAGCCATTATTTAGAGTCGATGCAGTCGTTCTGTGCTCGCATTTGTGGAACGTTAATCGCTTTGAGATCGCAAAAATGCTGTTCGCTAGTGAGATTATTTACTTTTTTCTTTCCTTGCTAACACTTCATTTTTTTTTGTCTACGTGTGTGTACGCCGTGTGCACTATGTCAATTCGGATTTTATTCTCTTTCACTCTCTCGGGTGCGTTTTTTTTTTCTTCACTTTGGATGTTTTTGAGTTTAATGGTGTTGCTAGTACTACATTCCTTTGTATTCAAGACCTTTGTGCTTTAACAATTTTTTTTTGTAATTCTCTCTCACTCTCACTCTCAACAATTCTTCGCGCTTCGATGCAATTTTTCATCCCCTTTGTTTGGCCGCTGAACTTAAACGACAGCAGCAAAACGAACTACGTAAATAAAACTACCACTTTTTCATTTTTGCCTTTTAACAGAATACCGAGCAGAAAAAAAAACGTTTTCCCATTACCAGAGAAGAAATATGTAATGGCAAAGCAGCAAGCACGAGTTCGTATATCGCCTAAGGTTCTAAACTACAAAAGAGCAAGGGGAAAAAAGCGGCCCTCGATTGTGGCAGGAAGATGGCGAGCAATGTGGAACAGAAAAATATGCAGTTGCCATAATTTATTTGTTCTATTTGGATGTATTTTAGTGTGTGTGTGTGTCGAGCACAATTTGTTCAACATCTCGCATTTCACATTTGCCAGCTTTTTTGTATCTGATTCTTCATATGCGAATGAAATAATGGTTTTATTTCTACCCCAAAAAAGCTTCACTCTTTCTGTCTCTCGTGCGCGCAAACATGCACGCACACACTTCACAACAAAAACACCATTTTTATATTTTGTTCGTAACATTTTCCAGTTTTTAAGTGCTTTTTCCCTTTGAAACGATAACATTGTAAAAATTGCGCCATGCAAGCCGATCTAAAATAACAACGAAAATGATGTGCGTTTTTCATTCGTTGAAAATATCAAATGCGAGTTAAAATGTCCGCAAATTTTCCAGCAGAGAAAATGGCGCAAATACAAACGGTTCTTTTTTTTTCTTCATTCCTTCTTTTCTGCTCGGTGACAAAATATATACTAAAGAAGAGAGACGGCGAGAGAATGAGAGCGAGAATGCGTACAATTGCACATCAAACCGGTATTACAGCCATAAAACATGAATACAACCACTACTAATACAAGATCAGTATTCATTTTAAAACAAGATGTTTTTCTACCCAACTCATACTCTCGCCCTGAAGAACTGTTGCGCTGCATTTTCCATTTATAAAAATGAAAAATTCTTTCATCTGTCGAGTGTTTTGCTTGCTATTTTAAGTATATTGAAATGGCATTGTAATCATAAATGCGATCATATTTCTGTTCCAATTCAAATTGTTATGTCTATTTTCATTCCAACGGAAATCACACAGAAAAAAACATGTTGAAATAAGTTTTGCAGAAAATATTTATGATTGCATTTCAAAGGCACAACAAAGAGGACATCTCTTCAAAATGAAAAAAAGAACCGAAGCTGTATGCAAATCATATTAAATTCTGAGTTGATAGAAAATATTATGTTTTTTATGGATATTTTTTTTGCTGCTGCTGTTGTTGTTGATAAAACGATGATGTTTTCCTTTATTATTTCTCTCAACCAAGTGGTTGCAACATAACCGGCTTACAGAAATGGTAAAATATAAAAAAAGTAATTTTATCTGAAGTAACTATATACATATAAGATATTTTCTACGGTGATGAAAAGTGCTACAATTCATAAGAGTGTTATAGTGCTCGTTTGAATAATTTCAATGCGTAGTTTTATTTAAACACATTTTGTTTAAATTATGCAATTACTTTTAGTGGTCTATACTATAACAGTACATTTTATATATATTTTATTTGGCTAAAATGAACATTGTACCGAATTTTCACCGAATATTTAGTTGCGGTTGTGTAATATGCCCGATGAATTCAGTGTTACGGAAGTGCAAATGTTTCATGTAATGCCACAGAGAGAGAAAAAATGGCATATTGTTCAGTTGTGTTCAATGATTGATCATAATTAGTTGGAATAGTAGCAACTGTAAAATGAAAATATGGCACAACTTATTCAATTGTTTTTGTGAATGTGTCATTCGAATAAACGGCAATGGTCATTGACTACAACTGTAAAAAAAACTATTGAGCCACATTTATGCAGTTGAACAAATCTATGTGGAGTATTTAGCTCTGCATAAACCATCTTTTTTTCTTGATGCTCGTTGCGCTTGAATGTAGTGCTTTTTTCGGGAGTTCGTAACATTTTCGAAATAGCTACATTTGCAACGTTGCTAAAACCGCTTAAAAATGCAAACGATTAAAACAGTATGGGAGCGTTTGAAACTCTGTTTCATGCATGTGCGGTCACTTTCCAAAAAAACATTACATGTTTCATGGTTTGAAATTCTCGGAAAAAGCCCAAGTAGATATTTTAAATGACGATGGAGTCCCATTTGAATGTTTAATTTTTATGTTGTCGAAAATAGTATGGACTCACTCTTATCTAGTCATGAGCGCACTTCACTCATCGTTCGACAACGATTTATTATTTTTTTAGTTCCAGTAAATTATTTAATACCGTTGCACAACTCTTGAGGACAATATAATAATAGTAGCAATGTGCTTACATAAATGAAGATGCACTTGAACCATTTTTCATTTTGCGATTGAAGCGCGCTCACTACAACAACCGATTCATATGCCATAGAAATTAAATTCAATTGTAAAGCTAAAAGTGTTGCTTTTCCATCTGTCAATTACAGTTCTATGGTGACAATTTGAAACATTTTCCTCCATTCTTCTCTACCTTTCAGTGCTTTCGATCTTTCTTCATCTGAGCGTTTAATAACAGGGTGAAAAAATCGCACAGTACCCATACAAATTGAAGGGGAAAAGTGGCGTTGTGCGTGTATGACACAGTGCTCAACAGCGAACAGAGTACTGAATTATGAATGAGATTTTAAGAAACTTGCTTAACGATCGACCAACATTGTGGCGATTAACTGTTATTAGCGAATAAAACTTTTACCCAAACGAACCACTTTACAATATGAAACTTTAATTCTCTGCACTTCACAAATTTCTTTCCACAAAATGTACTTCAATAATTATTTTTTTTATTTATTCCCGACAGTTTTTGTTCATTTCTTGCTTTCATTTTTGTTTCACTCAATGCAGGCGCAAACGATGTATGCGCAGGAATATCGTCTTGTAAAATTGCAATGGAGTGACAAACTAGAACAATGAGCTGAAAATAGGAAACGACAAGTGTTTCGAGATTTTTCGCTCGACTTACAATTATTTGCAACGAAGTTTTGTTATTGCAAGAATTCGTTGATTTACGAGCGAAGCGGGAATGGTGCGAGAAATGGCATAAGGAAATAAACATTTTCGAATTTAACAAGAAAGCAGACCAATAAACAATTCTAGCTAGTTGTTTAACGAGTTACGACAAACATAATGTTTTATTTAATTGCAATATTGAACTAGAAACAAAGTTGCGGCGAAAATGACAAATCAATTGATGTTTTTAAAAAGCAATCAAATGTACATGTTCATCTTACACAACGGTCGGAAATCGAAATGCTTTAATTATTAAAATTGTTAATGGCTGGGATTATCGTCAGATGACTCTATCCGCTTATCTGTGCGATTTGTACATTTCGATTTTGTGATAAAATCAATCGCATCCATCTGATGGTACTTCCTGCAAAAGAGAAATGATTATGCAAAATGTTTTCCATTTCGCATGGCGTTATTTCTCGCTCACTCAAAATTATAGACTCAAATTCAAAATCACAATCAATATTTGTCAATGATTTATTAATGATTTTGGTATGAAGTCAGAAGTCAAAAATCAGTGGACTGAAGTTGCATAATCGCTTTGATTCGACCGATAGACTCGGTTAATTTGCCAGCTTTAATTTACTAGATGGAAGGAAAATGAGATGAACTTTGGCAAGAATTATCGTATGTGTGTATGTGTGTTTGTGGATTTATTTTAATGTGGTTATTAGCTTCGATCCGCCATTGTGCCCCGTTTGACACAATGCATTATCAAATCAAAGAGTGAAACGGGACAACGGAAAATTGATTATTATCAAACACGGATATGTATAGACTGAGTGAGAGAGAGAGATGGTTCATTGTATTCATTCTCAATGTGCCTGTATTTCACTGCTATATTGGCCACAATCGTACATTGTTCACCAAAATAACAAGAAATTGTATTTATGCAATTTATAATCTAATTGCTATGATTCGCATTTACCCAAAAGCAATTTAATACATATCCTTTTTTTCTAGCCACCATGTGTGTGTCTCTGTGTATGTGTGCTTCCATAAATAAATATTTGCAATGGCGCAGAGTCAAATGTTTGCTGTATAATATTTCAAATATCCGAAATTCGGTTTGTATTTGCATTTGAATGGATTGCATGATACTGAATTTGGCCTATTTAGTGAAACTATTGTGTCTATCTCGGCGACAAAACTATATCGTTCATTTACATAGATAGAAAAGCCAAATATATGCATTTGAAATACAATGGATTTGGAATGCTGCAGAAAATAAACACCTGATCTCTTTATTTGTCAAGCATTTCTCTTGCGTTTTACAATGCTCTCAAGTAGTAGCAGCAACGACAACAAAAAGAGTATTAGCAACAACAACAACTACGACAAAAAGTGAGATAAACGGATTAAATTAGGATTACGAATGGCAAACACAGTCGAAATACAACAATGAGGTGGCGACAATGATGCTGGTGTATACTTGCAACGATAAAAAAGAGATATGAATGTACCCCAGTCTTCCATGTAAAAATGTTTGGATTGACAGCGATTCGCTCGTGGCATGCTCAAGATAACATTTTCTCGTTTACCAAAACAAACGGAAAATCCGAGCTGTCAACCTAAGTGTTTTCCAATCACGCTACTCGTGTCCTGGTTATCATTGCATGCTGAACATCGTTTCATGTGCAAATTTTTCACTTCTCATCCAACTGGATATATGCTCATACTCCGAATTACAATGAACACACGAGAAAGGAGAAAACGGACAAAAAATTGTGACATTTTTTGTGTGTGTCTCGTTCTTGTTTGTTTTTCCACATTCACATTCTGGCATTTCGTTCATTTATGTGATTCGATTTGTTTACATAATCGTTGTGACCCATACCCGAGTTCTAGAGGGAGTCAAGAGCGCTCCGTTCTGTGCATAATATCTTAGCAAACAGTAACAATCCAAGGGGATGAAGTGGTTCGAGAGCTATTCTTTTTTTTGTCGTGTAAATTTAACTATCTGTCAATGTTTGCAAAGCATTGCCATCAAAGAGTGCCAGACAAAGCTAGAGAGGTACTCAAATAAAAAATGTAGCTAAAAAAATCTCGAACGAAAAAATGGCAACGAGAGATGTTTTTTTTTTTTTAAATTGGCCATGGCTAAAATAATGTTGAAACGAGGAACAAAAAATGGAATGACGAAGAAAAGCTTATTTTTGGCTGTTGTATTGTGTCGAAAAGAATGGCAGCTACGATTGTAATTCATTTTACCTCAGTGCCGACTAAGAGTCTTCACAATTCATTATTCAGTGTGCCACAGTCAAGCACAACCAACAATGACACAGCCATACTCGAGTTTGATCTATTTTCGTTCGAGACATTCGAATGAAATGTACAAATCCATCCCTACTTTTGAGATAAATTACTGATATTTTCTCTGCTCATTTTTTTCCACTCTCACCAATAAAAGACTGCAGGTTTTTTCTCGATTCGATTCCGGGTGCTCTTTGTTGGACACAATTTTTGTTTGCATTCAGAGACATTCATTCTGCCATTTGTTCGAAACGCTTCGGAATTGTGTAGCATGAAAAATATATCGTTGAGTCTCAATTCAAATGGCAATAGAGTATATTCGTACAGATGGCATTTATCGAACGGTCGATTGGTCGCTGAGCTTACTGCTGCTGCTATTGCTATACACATAATAAATATATGCATCGTCTCATGTGTGCATCGATAATTTTTCTCTGTTTCGATTTCCTTTCTTTTCAGCATTTTGCCGAAGCGTACCATTTTTTCCACCGACTGTATTCGCAAAACATAGACGCCGAACTGCAATGTATGTACATGTGCATGGTGCGCACTATTCTCTTTCTATCCCTCTATTTTGAAAATAACACACACACATACACGCGAGACTGTTGCAATGAACAACCACCGCTGCTAGCAGTCAGTTTGTTTTATGCTACGTTCGCAACATAGTCGTGCTTTGCTGTATGTCACTGCAAACACGTTGATTAAACATTGAATAGGTAGCAGCGCACGTTGTTGGAGGTGTTGAGCATGCACTTGCGATAGCGAATTTTCACGTTTGCCTTCGAAGAATCACTTGTTTGTTGGACATTGTCGAAGGTGCATCGCTTTTCTATTTGCCGCTTTAAACGTTCGTTCACAATAAAAGAAAAACGAATCCATTCGTCGTTCGCAATTCGAGTTTTGTGGAACACATTTTTTTTTTCATCTTCTCTATATGTCGTTTTTATCCATCGTGTCGTAGTCGTCGTCGTTATTTTACCGGAAATGAAATTGATCAAGTTTTTCGTGATCTTTTTTACGTTGAATTGAACATTAAACGGGATAAATTTATGCAGATGCTGGATAAGAGTTGGAAATTTAATGAAAAAGTGAATCGAAATTGAATTTACCAATATAAAATATTCGAAGTTGAATGGCAAACGGTGAAAAAAAAAATAATCGCGCGAGCGTTGAAAAAAAAAATCGAAACTTTTTTAATTAAATTTTTTTTTTCGATCTTAAATGTGATTGATTTTTGTAAGTTCAATTTATAAAACTATGTGAACATGTACTTATATTGCGGTATACACACAGTGGCTAATATACTAAACTTTTATTGTGGCAGAAAATAATTATAATTAAATTTACCAAAAACTAAGGGCATCATATTCCAGCAGGAATTCTCTCGACGCAGCAACAAAACTTTTGAAAAACAAGAGACAACAGCAAAAAGAATTGCCGACCAACTGAAATGCACTAATGAAGTAATAAAGTGAAAAACATCAAACCAAAACGACACACAAAAAAATAGTATTTCATACGAGAAAATTGTGGAAAAGTGGTTCGAAAGCCCGGCAAAAACATGATCAAATGGTATTTCATAAAACTTTTGCCAGTGTTCATTTGGATTTTATCACAACATTTGCATGCGGCAAATGAGGTTGCTGTTGATGCAGCCGACATAGATGATGCACAGGTAACAAAAGAAACCCAACAACCCACCCACTCACTCTATCTATCTCTTGCATTCAAAAAAACCCATTTGATAAAACTTTTTCATTCTATTCACAAAATGAGGTTTTGTTTAGCCATGTTTTGGTTGCATCGAAAAGAAAAGTTCGAAATTGATTTAATTCCTGTGTGAAATGCACTTTTAATACTTTCCACTTGAATGTGTGCTGGAGTTTTAGATCTATGCGAAAGTGTTTCCAAGCTGTTTAAATTGAAAGAATTGACTGCAATTCTCTGAATTTTTATGCACAGTTCTAATATGAATAAATTTCATTTTAAAGCAATCAACACATCTGCATTTTGTAACATGTAGCATTAATTAGTTTGATTCATTTGAATAATTAATTTAATTCATTATTTTACAAAAAAAGTGATTGCCTGCATTTGGAATATATTGACAAAATTGCACATTCAATCCATATTTGTTGGCATCGGAAAACACAATGTATTCAACGCCACACTCATAAATGGAAGCGAGAGAGAGAGTAGAAAAAAACTGTGTAGAAATTTTCAAAACATTGCATGATATGGATGAGTACGCCACAAAATTGATGCTATCAAAATATGTGTATCGCATCAATATGATGAGTATCAATCATTATAATTTGAGAGCAGAGCATATGAAGTTTTGAAGAGAAAATCGCTGAACAATATAAAAGTTTGATCTACAAAGCGAGTGTGGTGTATTTTCATGTTTGCCGATGTGTACATTGACTAACATATGTATGGCGCGCATCTCCCATATTAACACCATACACACACAAAATCATTGATGCTGTTGGAATTTTCGTTCAAAATTGCTGCTCTTTCATGCGTTTTGCTGTTTTTGTGCAAGTGAAATGGCGAATTTTGTAAATTAGTATAAAACCGATTAGCCGCGTGCATCGATAGTTCTCGTAATTAGTTGGTTGGGAAAATGACGTTGGCTGCGAGTAGAGAGCATGAGTATCAGTGCCGTTTGCAATAAATTTGATTGATAGCTTTAGCCGAAAATTTTGCAAATACAATCATTTTTGCTCAGTTTACAGACAGCGCGAAAGAGTTTTATATATGTATTAATCGTATCACATGTTCCTTCAAATCGAATGCAATTTAACAAATTTCAAACATGATTGCTGCTGATTTTGTTCTTGTTATGAGCGAATAAAGGAAGCGGCACGATGCCATTTGCTAATTGAACGAATTTAGCGAACAAAGTGTCGAAGAGTGTGAGAAAGAAGAAGAAGAACTCAAATATTTATCCAATTGAATGCGCGTCTTGAATCAGATAATTTTGCTGTTTCGACTTTTAAAATAAAATTGCTGAAGTTTTGAGTCTGAATTTGATGATCCCATATACCGACAACCGAGCATTTTCGTTGCATTTTCCCCAATTTTGGGGTTTGTGTCAGATTTCCAGGCATTTTGGTTTGATATTTTTTTTTGTGTGAGTGTTGATAAGATGGTTCTCGTTCGACGAGATGTGCATTGCGCTTATTTCATTAAATTAATTGCTGCTCTGGGTATTTTTCAAGTAAAAGTTTGAACAAGTGTGCCGACTATAAAACACACCAGAAATTGCTTGCAAGAAAATGAAAAAATGAAGAAAAAAATAAACATTGACTACATTGTTTTAAATTTGCTACAAATGATCGAGAGAAAAACATTTTACTGCATTCAAACACGAAATTTAAAAAAAAAATAGAAAAAAAAGTGTGTGATACTTTGTGGCAGCAGCTAACAACATACACACGCTCATAATTGAAAATTATTTGTTTTTGTTAGAGCACACCGCACGAAACATTGCTGCATGCTGGATGCCATTTCTACGGTGAAGATGCACACATATTGCGAGAAGAAAACGAGCACACTTTGGGCAAAATGGCAGAAAAAAAAGATATGAGTAGAGACGGAATTTAACAAATTTCATGTATAAAACTGCATTGCAACCGCATCTTTGATTGCATTACAAACAATGTAAACTTGTGACTAATTAAATTGGCTTTTTGACTCGGGCGCCGTTATTAGGCATGTGAAAATATAGAAAACCTTGGCAGCGATTAATGTGCACTTTTAAACAAAACATTTGGCATTCGGCGTTAGTTTTGGCAAATCCATCGTTTTTTTCTTTCTGTGTCTGTTTTCGCATCGCTTTATTTTCGACTGCGTGCGTGCCGAAGATTTCACTGAAAATGACACGATAAAAATTCCAAACAGAAAAATGAAATCGCGATAGAAAGACCTTGGCGCACATTAAAGTTGTGCTTCTTAATTTTTCGTCTTCGTCGCCACGTTGTCATTGTCGTCATTTCACTTTGGTTTTTCAATTCAATTAAATTTTTTTTCGGAATTTTCCGCTTTTAATTAATCTATTGCTCACATCATCTCAACTGAACCATTTCATTTATTATCTCATTGAGCTCAGTCAATGCATTCAACCGTGTTTTACCAAATAAATTTTTTCCATTCGAACACGAAGTCACACACACATAAGTTTTGATGTCTTTTGAAATTTATGTCATACCAGATTATAATATAGATTTCATTTTTCATTTTATAGGTTTGTTGTTTTTATTTTATTTCTTCATATTTTGCGTTTTCATTTTCACCTATATATACACTTACACACACCGATATCACTACGAAAAGATAGCCTACGATTCTTTTGTTACCAAAGACAGTTATTTCCATCATCAAATGGTAGATGGATTTGTACGGTGGCAAGAAATTGCAGCCATCGTAAATGAAGTACCATCAGTTCACGATAACAGAGTACTTTACTTAGAAAAACTCTCTCATTATTGTTTACGATGGTGAATGAAAAAGAGACGAAAGAGCGATAAAAGATGAAAAAGAAGAAGAAATTGCGAACGAGACAGCCGTTGTTGTCTCTTTCTATTAATTATTATCATCGTGTTTCGCTATTAAACCGATTCACCGATTGAATCTTGAGCGAGCATTTGATTGTGGGTTTGTGTGACAAGACAAAAGAATCCAACTGATATGTTTTGCTGATGATTTTTTAGTGAAACAGTTTCACAATCAGATGAAATGGTGAGAAGAAGAGGTTTATAGTCACTGACTTTAATGACACGCCATCCCAATGCTGGTGGAAAAACATACATTGTTGATACCACATACAATTGAGCAGAATTTCGTTATTTTCATCGACATAAAATGATGATTTTTTGATGAACGACGAACAAAAATACCTTTTTACATCATTTATTTTATTATTATTATTTCGATGTGTGTTGGCTTTTAAGAATAAAATGTTTATCTGCTTTAAACTTACATAAAAAAGTAGAATTCAAACATAAATCATTAACAAATGATCTTCGTCGTCTCATCAATTGGTTTACGACATGATATTACTGTTTTTTTTTTTTTATTTCTTTGGCCATAAATATCGCGCGGTTTTGTGCACCTTAAGAAATGATAACATGTGAGATAACAGGTGTAACTTATATCGTTTCTCGTTCAAGTGGTAAACTTTGTTGCAATAAAATGAATTTGTGAGATGTAACGAGTTTCAATAATTCAAAAGGGTCAGAAAACTACGTTTTCTTATTCTTCGACAAAATAATTAATAGCAAGCGTTTCATTCAATTCATTCATCATTTCCTGCTCGATTGCTTTTAAAAGTAATAAATAATAATCCAGTGAATTTAATTTCAAAATGTTCATAGTCAGCGCGCGCGCACACACACTCCGTGTAATTGAAGACTATCAGCAAATGCAAGAGCCGATTTCTTTTGTTCGACAAAGCAGCTCAAACGAATCATTCTGCTGTTAGGAAATGATTTTTTTTTATATTGAAAATGCTGCTATTGCTTCTCATATTAGTTTTAGTTGGCGTTTTTTTCCTCTTTTCTTTGCGAAATTCGATTTCGTTCACCTAATAAATTTGTTGTAGTCAAGTCGATTGGCGATTGAAGACGATTGTACAGAAATGCACATTCTAAATACGGTGTATGAATGCGCTGCATGTGAACATGTCAGTCCATTTAACATCGTTTCAATTATGTTTTTCTTGTGCGAGTGTTTGTTGTCGTTTATTTTTAGTGTTGTTGCCGAATGTGATATGACGATGCGCGCCAATCGAAGGGAAAACAAAATCAAAACAAGTGCAAAAAAATTTCTCTCCGATATTTTCTTCGTCGTCGTCGTGGTTGTTGTTGTTGTTTTTTATTTGATTTGGAATCGATGTTGCATTGATGCGGCCGGTTTGGTATGAGAAGAAAAATACACACGTGAAACCGATAACAGTCATTGATGTGTTTAACGCGTTGTTTTTATTTGCCATATGAGCAGCCAGCCAGCCGCACCGTATACGCTTGTTCATTTATATTTATGTGTTAATCGAGCAGTATCTGGTGTAATTCGACGAAAAGAAGCAGACAAAGAAGGAGATGAAAAACGAGAGAGAGAGAAAAAGAAACAATGTTGTGATGAAAATGAGAAGCAAAATAACAAACCAAGATATTGTACGATAAAAGAGCAAACCGTTTAATTGATTTTCTTTTTTGTTGCTGTGGCTTTGCGTGCAGTCAGTTTTAGCAAATAAACCGCTTCTTATCAGTGCGCCAGCACTTTTGAAACGAACTGAATTCACTGATTTCGAATACATGCATATACGATTCATTCGAATACACGCTTGTTTGCCGCACATCTAATTTTTAGCGTGGGTCTTCAATGGATATCGCTTTCGTCAATTCGATTTGTTCGGCATTTTCTCTTTTCGTTGATTCATATAGCTAGGTAATTAGATCACACATGCCATATCTTGTGCACGTAAATAATTTTACACTTGTTTGTATTGCATTCAATAGAGACAGAGAGCGAAAGATGTATTTGTACGTACACTTAAGAATGGTTTTGCCTGGTCGAATCCATTGAGCATATAAACGGGCGGAAAGAAGAAAGTTGCACTCGAGCACACAGATGCATTGGCCCGAATTAACAGCTTCACTTTTGATCTTTCTCTGTACTATAATGTCGCCATAACTAAAATAAATGCAATTGAATTTGAGAGACATTTGATGTGGTAATTATATGGAGTTTGCTTCATTTAATCCCGTGCGCTATAATCTCATGAGAGGATAACGTTTGCAATTTTAACGTGCTTGCAGCCTTTTTCGTTACTTCCGGAATGTAATATCTTACAATTGACAATAAGGTTTCATTCCGATATTGCCAGCCTTCGGCGATGTTCAGAGAGAGAGAGAGAGAGAGAGAGAGAGAGAGAGCGAGAGAGCGAATGTGTGTAAAGCAAGAGTCTTTCTAAGAGACTGAATTTCAAAGAATTGCTCCAAATCGATTTCCGATTAGATAGAAAGTGAATGAACTGCACACCAATTGTAGCTGCAAGCTCAGTAACAGCACGGAAATGTACGCGCGGGCTGGTTTTTTTTATATGGTTATCGTAGCTAAATAAGTTTAACGTATGGTGAAAACGTACCAGAAATAACAACAAAAAACATTTACTAATTATAAGTTGTCGTCGTCGTTTTTTCTCTCTCTTCTATTTGTGGCAACTTTTGCAATGGATCTGTGTCGCCATTTCTAAAGAGATAAAATTGCGGAATGATAAAGAGAAATGCAAAACGAATCAATGACGTTGATAAAAGAAAAACTGGTTTGCATCACTTTTTAAACCGCATAGTGTGTGTATTTGATGCTGATTCAATATGCAGCATTGACATGAACTATATGCAAAGGAGAGTGAGAGAAATGCATGAAACGTAACCATACCAACGCGTTGAGACATTGCCATGGGTTAGTTATATTCTCTTATGGGCTTTGATCGTTGTCTCATATGAGTATTATTGTCTCTATCTCTCCCTCTCTCTTTCTCTATAAAATATATAATTCAATTATAGAGCAATTAAGTTGACTCTTAAGCTTCACATCGAAGCAGATATAAAAGACGTAAATAGTAAAGTAATGAACACAGATGCGTATAATTGAAAGGCACTTTCTTTGTCAGGCAATGTGCACATTCAAAATAAGAGTCGAATGGCCTTTCTTTGTAAGTTCAATGAAAGCAAAAACCAGTTCTTAATTTTTTGTTTGCATCAAAGCTGCTTTTCATCTCTAATCGGTTCTGATTAATGTGGACTCTCTCTCTTTCTCTCTCACACACCACATACACACACTCTCATTCTCTCTATACACTGATTTGCAGTCATTGTCTATTTGGTGTAATTTAGAGCTCGTTGAAATTCTATGCTTATAAATTCAGGTGAATCGTGAATTGCATGATGATGAACAGTGGCGATCGCATTGCGACCATTTGGATGCAGATTTATTGAATTTGACATAGTTTCACTTGTGTCGATGTTTTTTTTTTCTATAAAAAAGCGTATTAATTGCTACAATCAACATTTCCATAATTACATGCATATTTTTTCATTCGGTTGGTTTGTGCAATACGAAACATAAAACCACTTGGTTCAAAACCATGATGCCACACACTGTATTTATGGACACCATGAAAAACGTATGTTTGTTGTTCGCCATGTTCTTTTTTGTGCCTCATTCGGTAAACATAGATCCAATTAGAGGCACACGCAGAGGAAAATGGGTGGCTGTCATGCTACGTACAACAACAACAAAATAGCATTTTTCAAACCCGCCAAATCGAAATTGGGTAGTCCCGAATTAAAAACAAGCGAAATGTTTGCCTATTTAGATTCATTTCATTTGAATACAATGCGTTCATAGATCCGAGAATATTGCTTACCAGGTGCTCGTTTATTTTAACACGGCTCATCACTTTGGCGTTTATTTACGTTCAGATGTGAATGCATTTTTTTTTCGTCAATCATATGAAATGCAAAACATGATACCAAGTCAGTGAAAAAAAAAAACAATATGCCGCATCAATACAATTTTTTTACCTACAGCAAACATGCCAGCAACAAAAATAAATCAATTAAAATATTAATTAACACTCGCTGATAGAAATGAGTAAAAAATCCAATCTCGCGAAAAAAGCATTTTTTCTCGTACAAATTAAATATTCAAGCACAATCATTTATTTAATTTTTTTTGTGTTATTGCATTATTCTCACACACACTCTCTCTGGCATGCTCATACATACTCAGACATTGAGACGATAACAAACACGGAACATACAGTGTGAAAACAATTGCTCATTTTCAATTTATATCAACGTTTTCACCGGTTATTTGCAGCAACCGCAAAATAAATGTAAGGAAATAATTCGAACTGAGTAAACTGTGAATGGTGTGTCTATTTGTGGCTATTGATCTCAATAGCTGCTAGCAAAACTGAATATAAATTATTCAAAGCATAATGATGAGAATACACAAGCATGATACATATTTGGAGCGTTCACGTTTTGCGGTCGCAATATAAAATTTAATCAATATTTCTTGCTATCACTGAAATTTATAAATAACAAAAAAAAAACCTTTTAATAATGGAATTTTAAATTGTCTTTCATTTACTAAATTCGACTCAATTACAGTCAATTTTCACTTATGTAAGCCACTTTTCCAGCCCGCACTGATGACTTTTCTTATTTGCTTCAAACATTGAATGTAAATTTTGTGGCTTGCCATTTGTTTTATAAAATATATTCGCTCGATTTGAATTTTTGTCATATATTTATCTTTGTGCCATTTTCCATGATAGATATAGTATAAATTGGGCAAAAAAGTTTTCAATGAGAATTGTGTTCTCATTTCGATGATATTTTCATAGTTGGAATTCAATTTAAACTGACAGATTGGCTATTTTTGACCCATTTAAACAATTGCGGTGTAGGAGTGTGCATAGTTTTAGACAAAAAAAAAATCAAAACTTTATTTCTAAAAATGTAGAGCATTATTTATCAATCTCTGTATTCCAGTCTATTTTAATTAAATTCGTTGCACTATGAAAAATTTAAAATATTTCGGTCGACGGAATGCCATTGTGCAAACTGACAATTCGGTCGACGATGCCAAAATTAAATTTGATGTTTTCGTTTAACATGAAAAGCCACTTTCAAAATGGCAAAACGAATAAAAAAATAAACAACAATAGCGTTCAGCAATATGCATATGTGTTGGTTGTTTTAGCTTAGAATTGGACACTATGGTCATTTATTCAGTTATGCCGACCTTTGACGCAATCCGACTAATTCAAAATATTTTTTATCGACTAAATGCGCTCGAATTTCCACATCGAAACGCAAGATGGAAAAGTAAGAACCAATTGATGACCATCAGGGTCAGACTCTGTTATGTCTGTTGATTGCCAATTCCGACTGCACATATTGTATTATGATGTAATGTTTGCAGTTAGTTTTACATTCGAATGGGACGTGAAACACATCCAAATATGAAATATATGGTGCATTTCACACAAACACAGAGAGAGAGAGAGACAATGAGAAGTAAATAAAAATCAATGGCAATGGATTACTGCATATATGATTTCATTTTCGATTTTGTTATTTTTAAATTGTTTGTAAATGCGATGGAAAAAACGAAAATGTGCTCAAAGTGCAAAGTTTCCAATTGCAAATCGATGAAGTGCAATCGTTTCAGGAAAAACAACAAATTTTTTTTATTCCAAACAGAGATTAAACCAACATTCATTGGTTTTGGGACATTCGGTGGAAAAAAATAAATCAACATCAAAACATTTTTCACATTGCATCGGGAAACCGGAAAAATTTCATTTTTTTATCCCCATATAAAATACACTGTCAATGAATGAAATCAATAAATTTCCAATTCCTCCGGCAATAAATTTTACCACTTTTTTCGCTTCCTCGCTCTCGTTTGCTGTGCAACGAAACGACAGAGGCTCAGATACGCTGTTTGTTATCCGATTTCCGTATACGGATGCAAATAAATGCGCTCGTTCGCACCCGAACATTTGCTATTCTGTCGCAACGACTTCAAAAACCCACGAACACCAAAGAAGGGGAAGAAGAAAAAAAACTTTGTGCGAAGCGAAAACTTTTGCCAAAAGACACGGTTTATTCAAATATAACAATTCACGTATTCACGCGAGAGTAGATTTTCTTTTTTATTTTGATTCTGTGCTGCTTGTAGCATATAGCTTATACTTATGTTGTGAAGAAAATGCGCGCCAAAGGGAAAACCTGCCGTACAAGTGGTTGGTAACATTTTTTGGTGATGAAATCGGAATTACTATATTTTATGTTTCGTAACTAGAACAGAGTGCAGAGGAAGCGAAAAGATAGAGTGAGAGTGAGCAATTGAATGCGCTTGATATGTAGAAACAAATGTGGGTAAGCTTAAGTGTATGGGACACACATGATTGATTTTTGTTGATATCAAGCCGCTTTTCGATATATTGGCCGGTAATTCGATTTATTAGTGAAGTTTTTGGGTTATGCACATGCACTAAAATGTGTGCACTGTTCGTGCCTGAAATATATATCATAACATATACACTCAAGCGGCATTCACATACATTGCATATACAAAACAAACGTGCACCACATAACCGATACTATTCGAGTATGTTGCATTGGGATTTGAGCTATATATTTTTTTCTACAGAGAAAATGGGAAGCACATCAATCTATCTCCAAATAAATATTAAACTTTTCAATGCACTACGTTTCATTCAAAATTAATATACTGAAAAAGCATTTAATTGCTCAATGATTGACAGTAGATTGTATGATTTCAAATATGGTATTGTGGCATGTATGTCTTTTTTTAGATTGGATTATGCCATTGATGCCTTTTCGACTTTTCATTTCCAAAAATAATTCAATCACTCTGACAATTTCATTCAATGCTATGCAAATGGATTAAATTTTTCCCATATTGAACGGTGACTAATTTTCATTTGGCACTTCCATTTGCATACTTTATTTATATGAAAATAATAGATTGCATCATTTATTAGTGATAAATGAAAAATTCGAATTGTATTCAGTTTTATGTGATTGTGTTTATTTTATTTTCTAATTTTAGACTGTATGGAGACCGACAGCACATCACATTTTGCCGACCGCAGATCTATCACAATTATACGAATCAAAAGATGATGACGCAAGCAATATTCAAAGGAGATTTGATGAAAATTTACCAGCCGAAGTGGAAAATGAGTGGCAACCAGCATTAATAACGGCCGATGAACAACAACAACCAACAGCCGGATTTATGGTTTCGGCCACTCATTCGTTTAGTGAAGATGATACAATGCCTGCCATTGACAAACGAAACGATTGGAAATCAATTGAAACAGACGTTCAATCACCTGTACTTCAAGTACAGAGACAATTCAATGTTGATCGTGTGTCTGGTGATGTTTCCGATCGACCACATTATGAACCATGGGTGCAACGTGATCGCGAACGCTTTGTATCGTCTACTTTGACAACGCCTACAAGTAGCACACAACGATTTAATAAATCATATCGAAAGCCGTTTGTGAGCTCACGTCGCAACGAAGACGAGAAATCCAATGAAACGCAAGCAAACGATAACAATGGCAGAACCACCAATTTGAGAAATATTCTGAAACAAACGGGCGGTTTGAGTTTGAGTGAAATTTTGCAACAACAAAATTTATCATTGGAAGATCTGTTGAAAGGAAAACAAAATGCATTGAAAGCACTTCAAAATACCGCTCCACCACCGCCGCCCGATCCAAAAGACGAAAGCGATACAGCGAAGACAACACGTAGACTGCCATCAATATCACAGTTTAGTGTTGTGAAACCAAGACGAAATTTCTTTAATGGCACCACGCGTATGGCAAATTCCAATCGAATCGACTTTAGTCAGCCAACACCAACAGCTGACGATGTCAATGAAAATTCAAGCAGCGAATCGTCTTCAGTCGAAAGACGAATTGCTTCAACAATTCCAACACATCTGGCAGAAATGCCGGCGAGTAAATATGTTGAAGATTCAAGTGGACGACGTGTGCCGCCAATTCGTGGAAAGTTCATTAAACAAGTTGTGTCAGGAATTCGAACTGATTTTGATAATTCAAACTTGCGTAAGCGAAAACCAAACATGAAATTCTTACAGTCAAAACATCGAACCACTTCGACAGTCGAAACATTATCGTCTGAATCGAGTGGAAATGAAACGCAAACAGATGACAATAGAGCACCTGAAACAAATGAAGAACAAAAAGTCGCAGATTTAAATGTAAATGTTTCAACAACAACAACAGCTGAAGCCGAAGTGTCGACAACAACGATAGCGCCAAAATATAATATACGTGAACGTTTGACACTTCGACCACCAAGATTAAGAAACGTTCCTTCGGTTCAACCATCTGCAATTCTTCCGACTGCGATCGGGTCATCGGAACCATCATCATCAACATCGGCACCATCCGAAGTGACATCGAGTAAAGTTACGACTACAAGTGAAGAAACACTTCCATACACCATCATCACATTTACCACTCAATCGAATGAACCAAAGTCGACTGTCGAACCAAGCGAAATATTGGAAAATGACGATCAACCAGTTGACGATTTGAGTAAGAAATTGAATGAATCAGTGCCGGAACTAAATTTAGTCGATTTAGAAGATGAATCAAAATCGAAAGAGGTGACAAGTTTGGAAGAGCTCTTCATTAACGACAGTTTGGATCCGGAGAGTAATGGCAACAGTGCCGAAATGGATGAATTCATTCATGCATCATCAACATCACGTTTGGATAGTATTTACAAATCGAAAAAACCAAATTCATTGAAAATTTTTGGTGGAAATTTGGTGAACATCATTCGAAAAACGATCGATAAATTAGATGTTACCGAACGTAATCCGGGCCTATTTACTGATATCACATCAAAATTTGTGGATGATAAAACCGAACTAATGGATCTATTGAATGATCGACGTAGTGGTGCACGTTTGGTTAAAGTGCTTCGCCAACGTAATATGACAATCGATGAATTGCTTGATCATCGCAAACGTGGCTCCAGCCAAGTTCATTTGGCCGAAATATTCTATAGTCGTGACAGTAAAGTGACCACACCACCAACATCGCCAGACCAACCACTCGAGAAAACAAATAACGTTGATGTTGTTACCGCTTTTAAAAATTTTCCCGATTTCAATTTGGAGCATGTGAAAAGTGTGAATCCGGATGAAATAAAACATGATTCACAAGGTTCAAGTTACTTTACATCGATTACAAATATTCAACCAACCGCCGAAGTGATCAAAGAATCACGAGCAATACGCAAGCCCTTTGTGATAAAATTGGCCGAAAGTTCAACCGGACGAAATATACCAACACAATTATGGAACGTGGATAACATTGATGCGTCGTTACCGCAGAGTGAGAACAATTTTTTGGAAAAATCAGCACCGGCCACATCGTTATTTCTATCAAAACAACACGTTCTGCGACCATCAACGGGCGATGAGACAAATATAAATACGGCATTCCACGATGTGGTCGAAAATCGTAACGATGCAGCGGCTCGTTCACATGATCCACTTGATCTTGAATTATCCGGTCATGGATACAAACGAAATAATGTTCTAATTGAAAATACGCATATGCCGATAGGAGTGAGGTCGGCCATTGTTGCATCCGCATCGATTGTACTGACTTCGTTGACAATTTTCATGGTCATTTTTTTGGTTTGCCGATGGCGACAGCGACGAAAGCGAAAAATTTGCTATTCGGATCGATTTCAAGCACTTCGAGGACGCCTTCCTATTTTGAATGGTGGCAGTCGTGATATATCACCATCGAAACGAAGTACTAGTCCAGCAATTGCATACTTGAGCGCGGCAAGTAGTTCGCGACGCAGCAGTAAACTTAACACAATGGATCCAAATTCACCAGAAGTGCAAGAGTATTTGTACGATGCCATGAGAAAACCATTCCAATAGACCGATTCTTTTTCATCGTCATCTTTTTTTTCTTCTTCCTGTTGTTCACTTTTTGTGCTCCAAATAACGAGCCGAACACGGGCGATACAAATTAAACGAAATAGAAAAACAGACACACACACACACATTATTAATAAGATTAATTTAACATGTAGGCGAACTTTAAACGTAACGTTACGATAAATAATAATAATTGTAGGAATAAAAACAAATGCAAATTACATCATTTTCTTAAACAGAACTCTTTTTAGCATTAGCAATTTGTAGTTGAAAGGTTTTTTTTCTCACTTTGTTTGCTTTTAGTCTGAAGTACACATACTATATATGCATTCAATAATAATGTAATACCGTAAGAAAAATGAGAGAGAAACCATTAAACGAAAATAAAATTTAAGCAGTTCGATTGATGTTTATTGTAGTAAAATTTGATTTAAATAGCACAAACAGTTCATATGATTCGGAATGCTTAATTATAATTATTATTACAAAACAGAACTATATTGCATTCCATTTGATTTGGATTCCATATGGCTGAAATGCAAAACGAACATATGCATGTGAAAAATCACATTTAATTGATGCTAATTGCAACACGTCAATTCGAACAGAGATTTTCAATTTTCAATCATCGATTCACTGCAATTGCAATCAATCATTATTTATTTCATCGGATAGAGTTCATTAAGAACATGAATATCTAGCACATTTTCGAGCAAATTACAATAACTTTACCGCGTGAAGAGAAGAGAAGAGAAAAAAAAACAAACAAACTAACTAACTGACTAAATCTTAATTTATGTACACACAACACTGACTGAGCGAACGACATGTGCGTCGTGTTTGTGTGTACTGTTCTGTTGCTGTTTTTTTTTTAGTTTATTGTGTTTAAAAAACCCGAGACATGTGTATCAGCGCAGTTCATGATTACTATCACTGACATTCTTCCTATGGTTTTCAATTTTATGCGGCAATATAAATGGAAGGCAACAAAAATATGTAAGTATAATAAACGGACTCACCAGTATAAATCGTAAGTAAAACGCGATTTGAGAATGGCCAACATGGAATCGGATCGATCGGATTTAAGACTTTGTATGGCTTTGCGTATGAATGCGTATTGCCTGGAAATGTTCTTGCAATGATTCAAAGCCGTCACAAATGCGCTGGTTCCTTTCAATTCATTCATTTCGACTGGTGTAAAATACATGACCGTTGAATAGCGCTCCGGTAATAGATCGATGTATGGCTTAAAAAAACTCGCTCCTCCATTCAATCGTTCGATAACCAATACAAACGCCAATCGAACGTTTGGCATTGTGTCGAGCACCGGTATTTGGTCTAAAATTTCGGAAGCCACTTCACTCAAATTGTCCAGCGATAAAATCAGTTTCTTTGGAATTTTTGCAAAAATTTCACCGCGTTGAAAATCTTTTGTTGCCACCAAACCCAATTCATAGTGTGGAAATTGTTTAATACGTACACCATCGAAATGTGCACCGTTCGAAATGGCCCATTCATAAAATCGATCAATAGTTGCAAGACGATTTTTACCGCTATGTGATTTTGTTTTCAGCTCCGATTCGATGGCTTGTAAACGTTGTAGATTCGCCTCGATTTCAATGTACTGTGTCCAGAGCTCATTTACGGTAACCGTTGCATCAAAACCCAATTTCAATAGATAATCGGCTAATTGATTGATTTCGTTGCGCTTTTGTTGTGACAATTTTTTCGTTAAATTCTCACGAATGGCATGTTGCTGTGTTGGCACCTTAGTCGCAATTATTGTCGATGATGACGGCGACGACGACGACGACGATGTTGTTGGCTTCTTTTTGCCCATAATTTTTCAACTTTAGTTTTCTTTCGCAGCTTCGCACAGTGTGTTATTCAATTTTAACACCTCCGCTTTTGTCAGTACGCTCACGTTTATCGGTTTTAATTAACTTCGATTTCTCTATTGGATTTTATTCTGGATATATTATATATATAGAAAGAAAAAAACGAACAACTATTTGATTCTATGGCACAATCATGAATGAGCACCGAACACCAAATAATAAAACCAATCACAACACTTGCTTATTACTGATTTTAATTAAATCAAAGCTGATTGAATATCTCCTGTTCGTATTGTTGAAATTAATTTCGTTGTTCGAATTTAGCGCAAATACACACACACAGTATGTGAAACTGGCAGGAGTTAGAACGTCTCACAATCGACTGTTGGCCGGATCATCGTGTCAAAAATCTTGTCTTATGCAGATATTCATTTTATTTGTGTGTGTCTATTTTTTCTACTCCTCGTTAAATATGGTGCATTGAATTTTTCGTGTGAGTTTGTACAACGATAGAATCAACGACGATGTGTTCGAACGAAGAATTTCACATTTAAAAATAGCACAAACAGCGACGAATTCGAGCCGCTTTTAAGACATATTGCCAACAGATTTTCTCAAAAACATTGAATTTCATTCGTCGCCAGATTCGTGTATGTGTATGTATTTCACTTTGCTTCGTGTGTGATTATTATGATTCCCTTTAAGTGTTAGGTGTTCTCTCACACAGTATAAATGCCATGAACACAAAATTCCTTTTCATTTTGAACACAAAATGCCTACTTGACGGCCACGATTTTTAACGATGCCTATTCGGTTTCGGTTTTTATCACACAGGTTTTGATTTGGTTGCCATTGCAACAAACATTTTGTACACAGGCACAAACACGTCCATTAGCACTATTGCAATTGAATTTTGTGTTTGTTTTATGCATAAAATTGCTTTTGTTGTCACGAGTGTGGGATTTTTCGTTCATTCTTTCGGCTTATTTTCACATACATGCACTCACACACACACACACACTGCATTTTATGTTGGGCCCTTTTGCGACTCGCTATTTGTTTTTTCTCTATCTCTATTCCCGTGTACTACACACTTATTTCTCTATCATTTGCCATTTGACAGTTGATTCGTTGTGTGTGCATACATGTGAATCTATCTATTGCGCGCGCCTCACACATACATAATCACAGCTGTTCTATTCATTCAAATAACGGTATATTCAACGATTAAAAATCGTATGTTATCAATTAAAGTGCCACCGTTATTAAAATATCAACACAAAATTTACGACAATTTGGTGATAAAAACTATGAAATCTGGGCCAATTTGATAATGTTGACGGTGATTACGGTGTTTGGTTGTGATTTGAGTAAAGTTCGTGTTGCGTGAGTCCAATGACACACAAAGCTGCATGACTGTCACCACCACTATCAGAACACAGATGGCACTGTGCTCAAAGCACTTTGAATTTTGTGTTTTTTCTTATCACGATTTTCAGTTAGTTATTAGAAGACCGTACAATAACTTATTCCTAATCGATTCCAAATGGAATTCCAGCAAGCAATGAAAAAGGAACTCAAATTATTTTGGCTTGTTTCTTTGTTGAATTTTATTGCCTTACATGGTTTATAAATTACACAATAATGTACGAGACTCTCATAATTCTACAAACTAGAAAAAAAAATGTATTTCAATCGAATTCGGTTATATAAATCGAACATTTCTGTTTAGTACAATTGATAGAAATGGAATGGCTTTCTTAATTAAATACTCATGTGTGCTTTCTTTTTTTTCACTGTCATGTTATCTATTGAAAATATCGAGAGCCATAAGCGCTGAATAACATACTCTCTTCTCGATATATTCAATAGATATGTATTTAATATTTAATTGATATTGTTTTAAAATTTGTTTTTTTTTTATAGATTTGAAAATCTTTTTTACAATTGAACAACAGAACAAAAAAAATAAACATACTTTTTGATAATTCTACGAGAAAAAAAAACAAACAAAATAATGCTACAATGGACTGAATTTCATTATAAATGTAAGGTTGTTGTTCATTTTTGTTTGGAATTGCTTGAATGTATATTCTCTGTTATTACTGGTTGATGGTTCTGGATTTGCGCGACATCGGCACCATTTCATTTGCATGGATGTTTTCAAAGTTTTTGTTTGATTATGTATATCGACTCGCGCTTTAATCGATCATCAATTCAAAATGCACCGAGCCAGTTCGATCTTTTCGATCATGCTTAATGTTGTATGCCCATGCTTTGCATTCGATATTAATGATAATTCCACCTGAAATAAATCACAAACACATATTCATCATTCGTCGTAATAGTAAATATAAATTGGTATCAATCACAATACATACGTGTTGGTTTTTTGAAATGAATGGCGACCAAAGGACTCAAATAACCTTCTGAGTTTTCGTATGGGAAATAATAGCCGGGAAAACCTGGAAAAACCAAATTAATTTGTCAAATAAATCAGATAATTCTTCCTTGATGCTGGATAATTTACCTTGAGTTGGGAAATACTCAATGGGTCCCATATTTTCAATATCAGCCGGATTCTCACCCTCACACGATATCCAAACATTATTCAACTGAAATTAATTTTATTTTTTTTTTGAAATTCACATTCACATTTGAATTTATCATCTTACCTTCGTTGCATCGGTGCCGTTGATTAATTGCTTAAGTTGTTTTGGCATTTGCGGTGGTAAATAGTTTGTATCATTATAGAATTCAGGTACCCAACCGTAAATTCGATTTAGCTTGATAAAAACGCATGGTGAGCTCTTGTGATAGCTGTAGTTATTTTCGTGTGTGCATTTCAGAAATTGTTTAATGTCGACATCGCACACCTTTCCTGGCGGTGGTGGTGCTTGGTAATCGCAATTGAAAATGTTTTGACCACGTCCAGGGCTGTTGGATCCGGGCGTTTTGTAATCTGTCACAAATTGAATAGAAATGATTTGAAAAAAAAATGTGCAAAAAATGTGTTCGTTTAAGTTACATACTTGCAAGGAATTTATCAAGTGCATCGGTCCATTGTCGGTAGTTTTCATAATTGGTACCTTTATACCAAATTAACGTACTTTCGATACTTTCGGACGGTGGCATTGGACGAAAGCCAAGACCTGTAAATAATTATCAATTATTTAAATACAAATTCGATGTTTGATCATTTTATTCGTTTGCAACGCACCTGGATTTGTACCGATCAATGACTCTTTCAGTTTCCATTTTGGTATACGTGGATCGAGCGTTTGAAAGAATACCCACATACAAAGCGCCACCAGAGCGGCCAATGCCGCATAGAATATCGAGTAAAATATTCCAATTTTTACTGCAAATAAAAATCAATTAAAAATTAGAATTGAAATGTGCAATCTGATAACTCAGTCGCGTGTATCAAAGTCATTGTTTTGCAATTGTGGGTGCAGTGTACAACATCTGCTAGTTTTTGTTTTGTTTTATTTCACATGCATCCGTTGCGATAACTCCAGTCGAAAGCAGTACAATAGTGAGCGCAGTAGACGCGACGCCGCACATGAGCCATTAGAACATTTTACAAATGTGTTTTCTTTCAGCAGTTCTACTAAAATTCATATTTCAGTTGATTGAATAAAAAAAACAGTTGTCGTTGAACGGAACACATGATGAGTTTAATGAGTTATGTTCTGAACAGAGTCACGCATAGTTCACTCAGTTCATTCATGCCGTCAATTAATTTAATTGAATTTTCGATGACATTTCAATTTTCATTTTTTTTTTTTCACTTTCGATTCGGTATGATTCAACTTCTACTTTACATCCGTATTCATGGAGTTATTAAAAAAATACATCAGTTCTTCAGTATACAGTTAGATATTAGATATGTTTTGTTGATAATACTCGTAAACCACGCACATGTTTGACTTTTAAGCATTTGTAATTGGTCTAGCCGAGTATTAATGACCTTTAATTTGTATATAAATTCAATGCAAAAAGACAAAAACATCGAACTAAAAATATGAAATAATTGTGAGAAATCGGTCAGTTTGGTACAGACTAAATTAGAACATTTCGATTGAAATTTCATGGCTACGGCATTGTAAATACCATTTCATTGTCATAATATGCAAATTAATTATTGAACCTGTGAATTGTTTAGAATTTTATTGAAAAAAGTAGTTCGCCAAATAAACTTGATATAAACGCAAATGTATCAAAATTACATCAACTCCAGCAAACACAAAACGAAATAAAATAGCCAAAATGTAAAGACATGTTTCCATGTACGTTGTTTGTACAAAAAACAAATCATACACATACATACACAAATATATACATGTATAGATCTATGGGCGCGAGCGTTCACGGTTGAATATTATGCACGTCAATTCACTTAAAATCTTGTAATATTAAAACGATCGGTGCGCTAGCCGCGTCCAAATAAAAAAAAACATGTTATTAAACAACGTGGCCACGTATTGGTGTTTGTTGTGCGTTGTTTATTCGTGTGTGTGCGTTTCATCAAAGAGACACACCTGTTTATTTATGTATGTGTGGCGTTGAAGTTTGAACGCATAAATTTTCGAAAATTATGTTCAACTATTTTACAATTTTCTCATAATTTTAATATTTCAATCGATCAAATTGACAGATATTGATGGGCATCAAATATCATGATCATCACATTGATTGCTTACTTTTTTCGATTGACTATGCCCTTTGATATTGATACTTTGGTATTTAAACCATTTTGTTTTTTTTAGCACACACATATCACCAAATCGGTGTTCCAGTTTCTTTTTTTTTGAAATTTCATTCACTTTAGGCCAATATTTATTTTCAAAATAAAAAATTGGCTCATCGTCGCAACTCTTACCCCATGACTTTGAAGTACGACCCATAATGGAGCCATCCTGATGGTTGTAGAGAAAACGCGATAATTTAAATGGTGGGCCTCGAGGTTCATCAAAGAAAGCTGAATTAATCGACTGTTTCTCTTGCCTTTCGTCGAGATACTTTTCCTTAGACATAGTTCGTGGTTAGTTTTTTTAATTTTATATTATAAGACTGGAATTTTGGACGGAAGATATTTATCGGTTGTTGTTTTTTAAGTATTGACGTTTTTAACGACTTTTAAAAAAATTGAGAGATTCTTTTTGCACAGCTATTTTGGTACATCGGTCAATGAATTCAGAGATTCTTTATTTAAATTACTATACACACACGAGACTACACGCCCGCTTTTCACGTAAATGATCTCTCTTCGTCTTATAACACGTTTCAACTGTGTATCGGACACGTTTTTTTGTTGATCGACTTTTTTGTTTTAACTTCTAAAATTAATATAATTAAAATTAAAAATTATCGACTATGGATTATCGGTTGTTGAATCCAAGAAATAAAGTAAATCGAGAGTTGAATGGCGTTTAACATTTAAATTACGTTTCATTGGCTTAGCCCGGGCGTGTTAAACGACAAACAGTTCGAATGAAACTAAAAGAGATCAGTCAACACAACAAGAATAACGCTGGAGAAGCATTTCTATCTCATTTACACTTGTTGGTCATTATAAGGGCACGCAAAGATACAAACACACACACACACATACACACGCGCGCTCTGGCTAAGCATTCTAGTAGAAGCATTATAAAGCCGCGTAGTTTACGTGTCTATGTATTGTGTATATTCACGAATGAATGTGACTAATACTGAGTCACATATTAAAGAGGCGAAGCACATAGCGTTGCTTGGCAGCGTAAGGTATACAATAAAGTGCACAAAGAAGCGTGTAAACATCAAATGACAGAATATTCGATATGGCAGGAGAAACGATAGACCGTACAATGAAAACAAAACGTGAATTCGGATTTAACATGCACGTAATACACAATTGAGGTGAGGTTTGTATTCGAATCACACCACAAATGAACGCCGCAGAGAAAAAACCCTACATATTTTTCGTTAGTTTGAAAAGAAGAATATTTTTGTGTGTTTTGAAGAAAATATCGCAATAAAATAAAAAATTGCCTAATAATAATTATTTACAATTAATAAATTTTTTCTTTTTCACGTTTGATATTTAAATTCTTCTTCTTTTTTTCTTTTTTTTTGCCTTTTAATATTTTTTGTTTTTTCATCAATTATTTATATTATAAAAACTGTAAAACTCTAAAAAAATATATTTTTTTTTTTCAATTTTAATGATTTTTTTAAATGTTTTCAGTGATTTGGAGTACAGGTTCCGAAGGTCACAAAATGTATGGAGACCTATGGGTAATTTTTCCCAAGGAATGCAAATATGAAGTCAATTTTGAGATCGGGGGTATTTTAGACCCCATTTTGGCGATTTTCTTCGAGTTTCAGTTATCTTTTCGGGCTCATGCCTTCCGAACTGGGTATTCCAGTGGGGTCAAAGCATTATGAAATTTAGTTTTTTTAAATTTTGGTTTCGTCACTCGTTCTTCACCTCGATAGAAGTTTTGTATTTGATATATAGTAATTTTTCACAAAAACAGAAATTTCGATTTTACTTCAATATATTGTATTGAAATATTTAGTGGCTTTGATCTGAGGCGTTCACATTACGTACGATTGATTCAAAGTTTTTACGGCTTCCTTCAGGGTTTTTTTTTTTGACAAACAAACAATATTGCAAGGTCAAACTATCATAGTCGATGGTTTTAATCCGAACTTATGATTATGTTCCAGAATATTCAGTGCACAATGTGAAACCGGTTAAAACTGCATTTCACTTGAAGTCACCACACTACGGTCGAGGGTAGAATGAATCGGTATTTCGAATCGATGCCGTATAAGAGATATTTTCCATATTTCTACATATAGTAGAATGCTACCCCTCTGAATATGACGTAGCAACACATGCCGATGGTTCTTCGCGTATTGAATCATTCACATTACACACTGTTTACTACGGTGATTGAACTGGAAATGCAACACGTGTGCAAAGTTCTCCTTCATTTCAACATCTAACCAAATAAATCTGGTTTAACCCCAGTTATGTTTTTTTCCTTCCTGTTCCATTTCCTTCATTGTACACACCGTTCTGCAAACAAACGAAAGACTCAAACAAAAGTGAATTTACTATTGTTAAAGCACATTTTGATATTGTACATCTCCCTGTCTTACAACCAATGTGTTTTATTTTAAGGAAAGTGTGCTTCTTCCAGTAAAAACTAGATACACAACGTATAATACAAACATCCCTTGAAATCGTAAATATGTGTTGAGCGGCACATGAAAAATCCAGTTTGAACCGGATATATTTTGAATTAGACCGACAAAATCTAAACTTATGAGAAATGGAGAATGAATCACTTACAATATCGAACCTCAAAAACGTAGAAAACGTGAAAAAAACATTTTCCCGTAAGAAATAACCAAACTATGTCCTCATTGATTGGATGAAATTGGTTTTGACTTTTGAAATGATGATGTTTTGTTCTCATTGTGATTATATAAATCCTCCACCAATTTGATATTTTGCTTGAGGTAAATCATATAAATTCATATTTGAACGACGCAAATCCTAAAAAAAATCAACGGAAAAATTGTGTCATTTGACTAAATTACGAATATATATCAGACGTAATTGATTTGAACTGAATATGCTTTTATTTTTCCATACGTTCGTATGTGTGTGTGTGTTGTGTAATCATTTCGCAATGAAAGAAATTTGAGTGTGCACAAAGGTTGAAGTGTGATAAAAGAAGATAGTGGACTGGGAGAGCATTGAAATGTCTGTGTTTTTTTGTGTTTGTTGAAGCCAAAAGAAAACCTACGACCGCAAATGCGTCAATGTTATTCTGGCGATAATCAGTTCAGTAGATATGCATGAAGAGCACAATGATATTGTTACTGAGCTCTGAATCATTTTCAATTGGCAGTAATAATGAATATCCGCTGTTTTAAATATATGTATGCGATCATAGAACATTATTGTTCGCGAAATCCACACACGTACGTACGAAAAAAAAACCTATAAAGGTTTGAATAAAAAGAATACAAAGTTCCGTGATTATTCTAGTATCATTCATTAGCATTTAAATGAGCGCAAGCTTACGGCACGACAAACAAAAAACATTTAAATTTATTGCTTTTTTATCGCTCCACGTTTGAGCAAATAATTAACGGATCAGCTCAATGATTTTTTCAATTTTTTAATGTTTGAACATGCGACTCAACGAAAAGACTTTCAAATGACATTTTCATCCCAAAAGCGAGTACATTTTGGAAACTTTTTTATCGTATCGCCTGAACGGCTTGAATCATAAGTGACCTACTTTAAATATCAGTTGAATGTTTTCTTTCTTCGGAGAAATCTTGTTGAGATAATGTTAAAATTAAAAAAAAAGATAAAAAAACTGTATATCTATGTATCAAAGATCACTTTTCCGTTTTATTCAACGGTTTTACTTACTCCAACTATTTGCATTGCGACCTAAGACTGTTTTTGTTTTTGAATTGTACAAAAAATCTCGAAACGATTGTTCTGCTGGTATGAAATGGGCTGTATTAAAGTGTTCGAAAGCATCGATTGTTTCAGCTCCTTGATTCACCATTTTCGATCCTGTTTTTCCCCTTTTTAATTTGGCAAATTTATTTTAAAGTGATTCGATTAAATAAAATATTTTGCAAACAGGACTGAGAATTGATAATAACGAAAAATCCACTTGAGAGAAAAAATTTTTTAGACCAAAAACACACACACATCAATACTTTGTTTTCGCACTCAAAACAAAAATTCCGCCGTGGAACGAAACCACAAAACGTTCGAACAATGCAAGATCACGAATTGGTCTGATAAAATAAACGGTAATTGTCACTTCATTCGATGATATTTGATTCAATGTTCTCTATCTCTGTTTATTTCTGTGTGCAATGATGGTGTGCGTGGTTCTGCTTTCGTCATTCGTTTTCATTACGATTTCATTGCTTCTTTCCTCTTTTCTGCATTTTGAATTTTATAAAATGCGACAGTTTGAGCGAGAGCGAAAGAGAGACAGAGAGAAAGAAGGGTCATACAATGATGATTTTCCAACAAACAGCACGTGAACTTCAAATAGAATCAATCCCATCCAATTTAAATCCCGCGTGCAAAGAAGATTTCTTCAATCGAAGTTAATTCATCTCAATGATAAAAGCGATTATACAGTTGCCGTTCAGCAGTAATCATCAAACTAGTCAGCTATATGCAATGTAAACCGCTAGATGTCAAGCGATTTGACAAAAAACATACACAATACCGGATCAGTTTTGTGTGTGAATCTTCAAAATATGATGATGTCAACATGGATCTCATTTCTTCGAAGAAATATTGCTTGAACGTAATTCAACTCCGATGTTACGGATTCCAAATGTTTAATATGATTTTTTTCTGTTCGGATTTATCGTTGCGACGCAATTAAATGCTACGAAACTTGGATAATTTTTTTCCTTCAATATTTTGCATATAAACGAATATTTGAAGAGAAGCAAATTTTTATGATCGATATAATGTTGTCGAGACCGTTCCATTGAGAGGAAGTGAGCAATGTAACTTCACTTATATGATATATGAAATGATGACACTGACGACACTAATGGCGATCGTTAATCACAATTTTTCTATTTTATTATTTGCGTTGGAAATCCGGTAGCATTCAAGATTAAGTCAGATGTTTCGATGGCACAACATGGATTATTTAATCATGCATGCTGAGAGGTCACGCTACAAACATATTTTCAATACAACCGAACTCTAGATGTTATCGTATGTCATAGGTTCTGTGATTTGGTTATAAGACTCGATGCGTAATAGAAAACAAAGTATACCATATCATTTAACGTGTGGCCTTCACTAATTTGATTACCGTAATTGCATCATACAATCGCTCTGAAAATCGTACATGCGGTGACCAAGTGACTTTACTATGGACTAAAGGGAATTTTATGCCGGTCGAAAACATGCAAACAGTGTTGTTATCAATATATACTGATTGGAACGCTTTGTGCGCATTTAATGTGCAACAATTTTGCATCAACACAAACAAATCTATTGTGAACACTTCTCTCTACAGAGAACATAAAGATCACATTTGCGGCAGCAAAATAACCATTAACATTTACGGAAACCATTCATTAGAATCATTTATTATTGACTTTATTTATTTACAAATATATTTTCGCCAACTACACTATCATTGAATAGTTTCATTTTGTGTCTATCAATCGATTTGCAATTTGAACGATATATCTTTCGAAAAATCAACAATGGATAATTTAACAATGACTGGCGTGCACGTTGCATCTTGTTCAGTGTCCTTGCTTTTATATAACCAATAATAAATGAGACCATGTGAATAGCCAGGCACATTTGATCGAATATCTATGTTATAAATGTCAATGCCCATGATACGCCTAATCTCATTCAATTTCATTCAAACAAAAGTTACAAAAAGTCTTGGCGTTTTTTGTGAAATCAAAATAAATCGCA